CTACAGCTCAAGAACTAATAAATCTGAAGGGACTTAGCGAACATTTAAATTATAAGATAGACGCTGTGTTATTTGTAGATAATATGGGAGCCATATCAATGTCGAAAAGTTACGAGAATTCAAAGAGGACTAAACATATAGACATTAGAACACATTTTCTTAAAGATATTGTTGAAAGGAACGTTATAAGAATTGAATATATAAATTCAAATGAGAATATTTCTGATATAATGACTAAGAGTTTATGTAAGGAAAAGTTTGTGAAATTTAGAGACAAATTCATGTGTTAGATAAAGGAGATATTTTGTTTAAGTTACTAATGTGTTTGATGCAAATTATTCTTTTTGTAAAATGTTTAATTTGAGGAGGCGTGTTGAGAAACACAATAACTAATCTGTGGTAGATTACTCTGTAGTTCTAATATTGTATACTCTATGTTCACTTCCTTCTTGTCTATGTGTCACAAAAATGGTACCATGTAAGTCTTTGCCATGTATTATTTCCTTTTTTATAATAAACAAGTCGCAATCGATACTGAGTTTACTATCTTAACACCCCCGGCGATGGCCTCCTTGGCCGGAGACGACGGGGAGCACGAGGAGGATGATGTTCCACCCGTCCGGGATTCGGAGGTAGGGGCGGCTGTTCTACGGATCCGTTCCAAGAACACCGCCCCTGGGCCAGACGGGGTACCGGCCCGAGTGCTGGCCCTAGCCCTCAACCACATGGCAGACCGCCTCGGGGAGGTGTTCGACGCTAGCTTGGCGTCGGGACGTTTCCCTGAGTGCTGGAAGAGCGGGAAGCTGGACGGAAGCCGGGACGGCCTGCCGAATCGGTCGCGGCCTACAGGCCCATCGTGCTGCTGGACGAGGCGGGTAAATTGTTTGAGAGGGTTCTCTCTGCCCGCATCGTCCGGCACCTCTACGAGGTGGGCCCCGATCTGTCGGACGCCCAATTTGGTTTTCGGGCGGGGCGTTCGACAGTCGACGCTGTTTTGCGCCTGAGGGCCGTGAACGAAGAGGCCGTGAGCTGTGGCGGCGTGCTGTTGGCGGTGTCATTGGACATCGCCAACGCATTCAATAGTCTGCCATTCAGCTGCATCAGGGAAGCACTCCACTATTATGGGGTGCCAAAGTACCTGAGGCGGCTAGTGGCAGACTATTTAGAGGAGCGTACCGTCGTGTACGAGGACCGAGATGGTAATTTGAGGTGTCGGCCCATGTCGTGCGGTGTTCCACAGGGGTCTGTTCTTGGACCCCTCTTGTGGAACATAGGGTACGACTGGGCCCTTCGAGCCGACTTCCCCCCCGGGCTGGGTGCAATTTGTTACGCAGACGATACTCTGGTTACAGCCCGGGGGGTGAACTTCCAAGAGGCGGCGCGCCTGGCCACAAGGGGAGTCTCCCTGGTGGTCGGGCGCATTGAGGCCGCTCGCTTCGCCGCCGTGGAGGCTCTCCATTACATTACGTTAAAAACGAAAATACGAACATTAATAAAAAAAAAAAAAAAGGGATTGTGTCAAGTTTTCCTTCTCTCTGCAGTGCTGTTGTTCTGCGTGACAACTAAAAAAAACTGCTAATTACTACTTAATATGAACTGTCATCACAAATCGTATTTTTTCAATAAATTAAAAAAACTTTATTTATTTATTTATTTGATTCTTTTACAATAGTTACTGACTCTTTTGACAATTTTATAGGTATGCACATTTACGTTCCAAAACATGTTCGGCTGGCACTTAAAATAGGTAATACTTGAGCTATAAGTACCAGCAACTTAATCAATATTAAGTAAATTATATTAAAACAATGTTTTGTAATGAACTGTTTTGTATTTAGAATATAAGTGAATACCTACACGAAAATAAGGCTGTTAAAACTATTAGAAACTGAAAAACAAGAAAATATAATTTAAAAAGGAAAGTAAAATTATAAAAGGCAAAAATACGTAGTACCTCAACCTTGAAAATAAGCAAAATAAAATTGTAGGAAAGAATAGTCCAAAAGTAATTTAACAATACTTAAGTTCAACTTTTAAGAACTTAAACAATCTGGAACTTTCACGAAACTCTGCTGCCAAACAGTTTTATTTTTTATTTTTGGGTATATTGCACCAATGTGCCTTATTTCTGTAAATATAAAGTCGTATTTGGTGCAGATATTATGAAAGTTTAGTATGGATTAGCGGTCTGGAAACGGGAAACTTTATCAAGAGGAAGTAGTGATGGGTATCATATGAGAAAATGAGGTAATATATTTAATTTGAAAACCTGTATTTTTATGAACCGCATTAGCAATATTGATTTGATTGTTTACAAAGAATATTCCTTTATAGTGAGAATTTTTCATCCACAAATTTTTGTTCTGACTCTGGGTGTTACTTGTGTCCAAAGACACAGAATATATTCCTACTGTGGGAGTTGTCTTTTGAAACGCTTTTTATTAGATTCACTTGTATGTTTGTATGTTTGTTTGTAACCGACTCCTTTGGGCGTGATTTTGACTGACTTTAAACGGTCAGAATTCGTTTAAACTTTGTAGACATATCGAGGACCGATGACAATACACTAATTAAAAAAAAGCGTGTGGTGCTTTTTACTATAGACAACAGGCACCCCACGCTTTTTTTCAAATATATTAAAATTTATTTTCTATTTTTTAGTTTGGTTTTCTATAAAAAGCGTGTCTTTAATTTAATATTTTTTAGGATAAAAAGAATAGTAAAATTTTGAATGAAAGTTATTTTAAACGCTGTGGAAATATATTCAGAAATTTTTAATTCATATAAATACATACATACCTACACCCATACTGATATTCCAGAAGAAGTAGGCATTTACGTTATACATTCAACGCCCACATTTCGCCAACAATGATTTAACACCATCACAACATCATCATCATTGTCAACAGCCTTTACCAGTCCACTGCTGGACATAGACCTCTCCTTAGAAAGTAGGTTTTGGCCAACTATACCAATTTGGCCAAACGGGTTGGTATTGGGTTTATTTCTAGTTTTCCTTTTCTTTGCGATGCTGTTGTTCTGCGTAGTTTGCTCCCTTAGTCGGCTCTACGACACCCACGGAATGAATAGGGGTGATGATACTCCGTTTTCTAATTAAGTCACCACAGGGACACGGTTTATTACAATAAATAAATAAATTTCAATAAATCCAAAGTCACTACCATCCTATGACAAAACTAGTTTAGACTTTAGTTTCATTAGAATGAAATATACACGTATTTAATGCCAATTTGTAACCTTAGCAATTTGGAACAGTATTTCCATGGTTTAAGTATCTTAATACATTTGTTTTGGGTTGTTAACAGCCAAATAACGGAAATTTTGTTTGTTTATGTTTCCTGAGACATAAAAGTAGGCTTCACTGGTGAAGATTATATTATTCTTGACAAGATGTAGCGGGAAATTCCGCCAGATATCCTTATGGTTTTTTCTCATTCATATTTGGAACATGTAAGGTATCAAAAAAATATAAGTAACTAGCTGTTCACTATCATGTTTTGTTAGGCACATCGTGGTTGAATTCACGAGAAATAAACAAACAAACATCTTCAAAGCGGGTTGTATATCGTCTGAAAATTTAAGCTGTCGAATGTCGAAAGCTGTGCAGTGGATGCAGAACTTTTTGAGTTTTTAAAGCGTACACTTACCAACTTTTGACATACCTATATATATATATATATATATATATATATATATATATATATATTATATAGTTAATATACACATACATAAAAAAATGGTTTTGGTGGCTTTTGTTAATTAAGTATTAATTAATTAGTAACTCTACTTGTCTAACCATATTTGGTTATATTTCAGTTTTCGAGGAAACAACAACATGGTTAATGCTCGCTTCATGTTTGACGTTAATCTTGTATGAAGTTTTAGATAATAATTTATTCTCTAATAAAATCATTATACAGAGCTTTCCTCGCAAACGGGCGTTGTCTTTTTAATTAAAAAAAACGCAGAGATTACAGGCTCAACGCTAAATTAGGCAGCACGCCCGATATTCGGCAGATGTTGCCAATTCGGTCTTAACAAAAGAAAAAAATTAAAAGTATGTTCAGTTTTTGTACATCTAATTATTAAATAAACTCTGTGGTTAACTACTGTTGAATGCTTCAAAAGATTTGTTGAAACCAGATTTAATTTAGTAGAAATCCGACAGCACAATTAAAACGAAAAAATAAATTCGATTGTTACGATATTTTATCCTCATCACTAGTTAGTTCAGAACGCAAAGTTTGTAGTGCATCAGGAGTTAGTTCACTGGTCGGTACTTTTAAACTAAACCGTTTGGAAATTGGATCCCTATTTTTTACTATGTATTTTCATTTTACGCTAAAGGCGGTTACAGCTGCAGTTTTATGAGTGTGCAAAGTGCCGAACTGTTGGTAGTTTGATAAAAATATCACATTTTTTAATTATTTTTCGCCTTTATTTTAAAATAGATTGGTTAAGTTTTTTACCTTAAATTCAGTTTTATTTTAGGCAAAAAAGTTTATGGTTTTATATGAGCTGCGCTGCGCTTTTCTTTATTATATTCATTTCGTATGCTTTCTACATATTTCTAAAACATGAATCTCATTTAGGGCGCCAAGCTATTCACAAAATAAAAAGCTAATTATTATCGAATGCTCTCGAATGAATTTATATAGTCATTCAATCGCTGTCAAATCTCTTTGATATTATTGATACTGTACAATTCTATTTGAAGTAATTTTCCCCGAGAAATACGTTACGATATATCATTTTTTTAATTCCCTCGATATCTGGCAAAAGATAAAGTTCTTCTAAAAATGATACTAGTTCCTGTAGTCATGATAACAGACGTTATTAAAATCGGTAGTGTCATAGTCAGTATTGGTAGCGTAGAGTGATTAAAAAAAACTTTCTCAAGACAGCAAAAAATTATAGAAAGTGACAGCACTTTTAGACTGCATCGAACAATTGCTAGATATGAAAATATAAAAGAGATGGATCGTGAAAGACATCAACGCCAGTGTGAAGGTACGAGGTGTTAAATCCCTCCGACATAAAGGGGGGGTTTTCTAACCACGTGAGATGACTATGACCCTGACGATGCCTGGTAGACTGCAAACAATAGCTTCAAAGACGCGATGCAGGATTATAAGTTACTACAGAGTCCAGTTTTTTGTTAAATGACATTGAAGTATATTCTTTGCTGTATTTTGCTAGACTAAATTTTATTTCTTTTATTCCAGGTACTCTGAAACTGAGTCGATCACTGGCAAATCACAAAGGACACACTAAGTAAGTGTTGTTTTATCATTCCGAATTAATACACTATTTAGAAATGAGATATAGTAAAAGGAAAATACCTTTTACACTTTGTCACTTATGTTAGGCTCCGATTATCTGAAGAGTCGTAGCTAACTCGTATGTAGATATACATATAAATGTCTAGTGTATGTATGTGTATTTATATATATGTATATGTATGCGCATATATGTGTATATGTATGAGTATATATATGTGTATAGTGTGTATTTGTTTCTATATAAAATTACGTGTTTTGTGTTGTGTAGTGTATATTTTAGTGATTAGGGTTGTAACCTATGTGCGCCTACCACTCACGATTTCTACACTACCTAAAGGTTGGCATTAAGTCCGCTGATGTACAAAAGTGCATAAAGTTTGAAATAAACTCTATGGCCAAAGTCTTCATTTGTTCAATGTATAATGTGCACACTTCTAAAACCTAGAGAAAATTAAAAGTTAAATTATTTTGAGTGAAACGGGTAAGGCGCAGGAGCGATCTAGCTACGGAAAAAGTAAGTTTTAGATAGGGAAACAGGACCATATGAATTGGACCCTACATTTGTAAGTCTACATTAGTAATCTAGATTGGTCCCTCGAGCCCGTCGTTGCTCCGATATATGCTACGTCATAAAATCTAGTTATGCCTGCACTTGTAAAAGAGATTATTGATTTACTTCTGTTACTTAAGAACTGTAAAACACAGAGTCAATATGTGCGTCAAAACCAAATCCAAGATAATTAATTAATTTAATTTTTAAATGGTTGTAACTATTTATATTTTAGTACGGAAGAAAAATTCTTTTGTATGTATATTAAACGCATTTGCATGCAAATTGCAGAATGTGTACACAGAAAAGTGTAGAATTCTAAAATATTTAAACATTAATGACTTTATAAAGCTATAGAGGCCTATAATTTGACCAGTTATGGTCATACAAAAGTCTATGCAATGTCAGCAAATTAAAAAAAAACCTTAATTAAGTTTCTTAAGCTCATAATTATGCTTCTAGTCTTGACTGACCTGTTGGTCTAGTGGTTAGTGACCCGACTGCTACTCCAGGGGTCGTGTGTTCGATTCCCACCCAGGACAAATAATTGTGTGATAAGCACGGTAATTTGTTCTGTGTCTGATACATTACAACCCAAGAAATATATAAGTATGTTTATCAGCAGTTCATATATAAGTATGATTACCAAAGCACAGGCTCTGTCTAGTTTGGGATCAGGCGGCCGTGTGTGAGATGTGTGAAAATATTATTATTATTATTATCTACAGTTAATAATAAAAATGAAACCATTTTTGTTCCACGAAATCATATCTAAAATATGTAAAATAAAACGCTTTACTTTATTCAGAAATAGAAAAAAAGCAACCGTTAGACACACACACGTTGAATGAAATAATATTAATATATATCAGCGGTTCGACCTTCTCTTGGTTACTGGAATAAGAACTATCTAATGATGTAAAGTTTTTTTTCTTTTAAACTTCAGATGTACACGAAATCCGCTTAAAGCTGTAAGCTTAAAAATGGAGAAAGCTTACGAGTCCTTGAAAACACGTAAAAGAAAACGCAAAATAATCTTTGAAGTCTGTATGTGATACTGAAGATAACAAAATAAGCATTGAAATGAAGGCCTAATAAATATCATACTATCTGTGGTTATATTTCCACCAATTCACTCCATTATTTGCCATTATTATCGGTAAAATGACTCATTACCATTAAAAAATAAAACGTTATCAAATCAAATTAATTTTGTGTAACGGATACATTTTACTGTACGAGTATCCCTATTGCCCCTATTTCAGCCAGTATGTAACCAAGGAGAGACAACAAATAACCATTGATTTATAATACGTATATATCCTGGCTCTAAATATATGAAGCCAAGCACACCACAGTACTATATCATCACTATTGATACTCCGGTTCGTGCCAATGCATAGTAATGTCAGCTCGAAGTAAAAGCAAATGGAACGGAAACTTGGGTGATGTGTTTAAGTTTTTAATGTTTGTTGAATCTAAATGCTGATGAGTTTGTCTCAAGTTAAAGGGAGTTTTAGAGAAGTGCCGGTGCAGTAATATAGTGAGCGGGCAAATATTTTGCTCTGAAGTTTGAAACGTTGGGCATTAAACATTAACACTTTGTTGGATGTTGGCTAAACTAATTTAGTTTAGAATTTTGAGTGATTTGTGAACTGCTGTAAATATTTTATTGTATTTTTTAGTATTTAATAAAGCTGCTTATAAGAATATCTGTAAAATTGATGTTATATATCGTTTTGCGTTCCCGTCGGTAAAATAGGCGTCTATTTTCGTCTATTTTTCCAGATAATGGAGTGAACAACTTTTACTGTATTGTGTATTATTTTCATTATTATTTTCCAGTAGGTAAAATGAAAGAATAATATTTAAAAACGTTTAATATTTTTTTTTCTAATTAGAAAACAAAACCGTCGCCAAAATACACCCAGGAACTAAAACCAGAAAACAATTGGTACCCAAACCTATAAATCAAAATATTATAAGTCCAGTACAAAAATCAACTAAACTAAACTAAACACTCAATTATCTATAAACAGTGATCTTAATTACTATCATCATCCCATCATCACATCAACAGCCTTTAATAGTCCACTGCTGGACATAGGCCTCTCCTTAGAAAGGAGGACACAATTATTGTCTAATTCGTTTTCTATTAATTTAAATAAAATATTGTATGTACTAGACACCTACTGATGTGTTTGAAGTCGGTGCCAAGTCCAAAATGTTTGTTTTGTGTTTTTAATTATCATTAAGTCCGATGTTGGTTCTTGAATCTGTTGAATACAGCATTGTGAGCAGCATGCATTTTGAGCATAGTGATTATAAACGTTATTAAAAATTGAAATTGTTGTTGAATTTACTACCGAACAGAATCCTAATTTTAGCAATTTATCAGAGATATTTGAAATCGGATTGTCGTTTTTCGGACCGGGAACCCATCGAGCATTTGATTCTTCGAACTTTTAAAAATCGACAAACAAATAAATCGCATTTACGACTTTCAGTAAATTAAATTTTGTTAATTTTATAACAGATATTTTAATTCTTAGCTATTATGCAATTCGGACTTCTGAAAATCGACAGATCGAATTTTGGAATAAAATATTTCGGAGTATTTGGGTATTCCCGATGGAAAGTATGCTACATTCTAAGCAACTAGACAACTAGAGGATATAGTGACGTTGAGCGTCTTGTGTTACCTCTATTTTATACTGGACTATAACTGTGCATAAACTACAGAGTACTCGTGATAGAGCTGTCATAGACTTACAAAAAAAAACTTTGCGAAGGGACAAGTAGTAGACAAGCGTAGTACTCTCAGCAGAGTCAAAACTTTAGAAGGAATAGCTCTATCAGATTTAGAACCCTCTAACTATATATCTAACTATTCAGTAAACCGAACGATGAACGAGCATTATCAGAAATGCACCAATTGATAAATCTCATTTCTGACCAAAGGTAGAGAGAGTACCTTCTACTTTTTTTTTGGAGTCGGTTAAAATTAATTTTATTTTTATATTTTTAGTGGCAAGTAGTTTTTTTTTTATATATGTATAATGTGGATTGACCAACCAAACGCACTGCTCCAATGATAGAGAAAGGTTTCTTAAGTAACATCGATGTACAATTTTTAGATTTTTCAAAAACCGCTCAATCGATTTCAATTCAATTTAAATGGGACCTGTTTCGAAAGAACACCCTTTAATTCATTATCCAATACTCCAAAGTATTCATCAAATTGTTAATATGCACGCATGGCTACTTTTTACTGTGTCAACAACAGTAACCTCTAATAAAATACATTGAAACAGTAAAAAAACTGAAATAGCACATTTTAACTATTTAACAATTTTGCAGCAGATAAATTGTCGGACACAAACATTCACATACTGCTTGCTTCAGTTACAATAGAAAAAATGAAATCAGACATGAGTTTATCCGGAAACATAACCTCACGTACATGTCATATTCGACCTGTCGGCTATATGTAGCAGAAAATTTGTCGGACAATATCACCGCTGTATTTTATAAGGAAATTATTTAGGATTAGGAAATTATTGTGCAAAAATAAACTATGTATTTATCGCAAAACAAAACATCGTGCAAAACATGTTTGCGTTGGTAGACAAGCTATTTGCGGCAGAATTTTTGTTGGACACAAATGTTTTCGATTTTGTTAGTAAATTATGCGTCTAATTTGTTAAAATGGAAATCGTATTTGTTAAAAAAGAAGTAATCACAAATTCGACACACTTTACGCGTGCTACCGCCAAACAGCAGCACTTTCGACAATTGTCGTAATAAGAAAGTTTTAAAATGAAGGCACTGACAAACCTCAAATATGTATTAATCTATTATTAAATTACGTCATCGAGAGTGAAAACAAACTTGTGTCTGAAATTGAAACTTCCTTAGCGGAGGTTTCAGATTGGGGCCGACTAAATCTAGTCCAGTTTAACCCAAAAAAGACACAGGTATGTGCGTTCACGGCAAAAAAGATACCATTTGTCGTATCACCTCAGTTTGAGAGCACCTCCCTAACTGCCTTAGCCAGCATTGGAATCCTAGGCATCGACATATCGAGCGAAGTCCAGTTTCAGGGTCACTTAGAGGGTAAGGTCAAATTGGCCTCGAAGAAGCTCGGTGTACTGAACAGAGCGAGGCAGTATTTCACTCCGGCCTTCAGCTCTATAAGGCGCAAGTCCGGCCTCATATGGAATACTGTTCTCATCTCTATGCAGGGGCACCTCAGTACCAGCTTCTCCCTCTGGACCGCATCCAACGAAGAGCGACTCGAATCGTCGATAGCCCAAACATCTCCGATCGGCTCGATCCCTTGGCGTTACGTAGAGATGTGGCTTCACTCTGCATTCTCTATCGCATATATCATGGAGAGTACTCCTAGGAATTGTTCGGACTAATACCAGCCGCAAATTTCCGCCATCGTTCCACACGGCAAAATTTTCATCCTCATTACGTTCATCCTCATTTCACCATCATTCGAGACACTTTTTGCCCCTCACAACAAATCTGTGGAACGGGTTATCGTCTGCGGTATTTCCGGACCGATACGACCTTCAAATATTCAAGAAAAGAGCGTACTCCTTCCTAAAAGGCCGGCAACGCGTTTATGACTCCTGAGTTGGAGACGTCCATGGGCGGCGATAGTCGCTTTCCATCAGGTGACCCGTCTGCTCGTCTGCCCCTTCTAACATAAAAAAAAAAAAAAAAATTTCACTGGCGATTATTGGATCTTCTTTAAAAACTAAGAAAAAGCGTGTATTTTAAAATTGCCATATTATTTTATTCATTCACGAAAATCGGTTATTATTTTGTTACAATATTGAATGATTGCATACCGAGATGAGTTCGTCAAATTCAATAACAATATCCTAATTTGATGCGTTGCAGGACTTGTGTATTATTTTTACGTGTGGATACCCCCACAGGCCGTCACCCTACCGGGGTTTGCGGCGGGGTGAAGTGACGGAATCGGACCGACCGAAACCGCACGGTATACTATTCTGCGCCAGAAATGGGAGGGTTCCAGGAACTGCTTTTATTAAGGTCAGACGTTTGGACCCCTCCTAGCGTCTGCCCTCGAAGCGCGGGTACTACCTTCGGGTTAATTCTCTATTTAGGCAACGTATGGCACACGCGGACGTTGCCGTCTCGAGGCTGGCCACCGCCTGCAGCCACACTCAGGGCGGCATGAGGTGTCTAGCACAACCGCATGAATCAAAATGTTGGTTTTAAATACTCAGAATTTTTTTGTGATAAAATTACTGTAAAGATTACTACTTTTTAGATGCACACTATAGATTTCTCTTCCGTCGGAAGTTAGTAGATAAGATAACCGAATCAAATAAGTAGGCTTCTTTATTCACACTTTCATTATAATAAAAGTATTTGTAAAAAAATATTATTTTATTTAGCCTAAGCTTGTCTTAATTCTCCACTCTTTAATAAAATAACACAACGTTCAATAAAAACTTAAGTTATGTGCTAAAAAGCTTGATTACACTTTGCCTTTACATCTTTGAGCAAAATACTTTTATAAAGAAAATGTCTATCTTTATATTAATTAAGCTCATCTCTTCTCTTCTTAACGAAAATGCTTCTCTCATTTCTTGGTGAACTAACAAAATAAAGTCCAACAAAGTATAATTACTACCAGGCGCAGCTTAACAGCAGTTAACTTAACTATGCATAAATTAAACTAAGATTAATGAAATTACAGTACATGGTTGGGCCATGCCGCCGCATAATGGTCTCAATTTGAATTTATGGTTGCGCTCATAACATATTGTTTCCGTTGTCATTTTATGGCCACATTGTTAAACAATGTGTGATCCTTCAGTGTTATATAAATGTATAACTATGTTCAATGGGAAGAGCATTGTATTCCGTCAGTTGGAGCTAACTTTTGTAATAATCTTTTTTATTCAAAGATATTTTCATGGTATTTACAGAAGGTAAAATGTCCGGTCTACGTTAGACAATGCTGCTAATTCTGTTCGAAAACTCTCTAAGCTAAACTAAAAATCACAAAAAAAAAAATTCATGTCAAATATTAAGTTTTCAGAATAGGAAACGTTGTTTGACAGAACTAAACAAATGTTGAGTGATTTTTAGTTTAGTTTAGAGAGTTTCCGAACAGCAGAATTAGCACCATTGTATCTATTAAATAATAATAATAATAATATTGTACCACATTCACACAACGCCATCTAGTCCCAAACTAAGCAGAGCTTGTACTATGGGTACTAGATAACTGATATAAATACATATATACTTTTTTTTTGTAAGTACATACTTATTATACATAGAAACACCTTGACCAAATCAAACATTAAATGTTCATGCACACAAATGTTTGACTTGAGCGGGAATCGAACCCGCGACCTTTGGAATAGCAGTCCGTTACACAAACCACTACGCCATTCGGACGTCTGAATTTCTCTGAATCGGAATCTGAAATTTTGCTTTTATAACACTGGTAAGGACTTTTTTATCCGTTTGAAAGCTTACAGATGTTGTGGAATTCTAACTAACTAAAATCTTGGTTGTAATCCGAAAGGGATGAATTATTGTAGAAAGTATCGCCGATACGACGTGTGACTTGTTCTGTGCTCCCTTTCTGTAAAAGGCGCGCACAGAACAAGTTGTATCATGTGAACGTTAAACTACAATACAAAATATATGTTCATCTGTTTTGGCCTAGCATATCTTTTAATAAATCTGGAACGTACGCATACCTTTTTAATTGTTGGATCTATACCTACTATTTATTTTATTAAATACTAGATTTTTTTATCAACTAATACAGATAACCTCCAATTTCCTAAAATAAATAGGAGTTAATATTAAACGTTTTTTTACAGATCAACTACCCACAACACTAAAAGCCAGAAACCAGGCCACTTACGTTATGAAACCAAGGGTATGTATTTATGGCATTACCTTCTTGTTTTAAGGTATTTTTTAGAATCTAATTAATGGTATAGTTATATAATTTAAATGATTTTTAACAATAATTTTACATTCTGTATCTTCCAACTTAAAACTTTAACTTTTAACATTTTCTTGAATTAATCTCATTAATATTTGAATAACACTGTTTTTTATTATTATTCATTTCGTTGATTATTCAATTTTTGAATAATATAATAATTATATTATTTATATTTCTCAGTTCAAAATACACAGTTTAGTTAGTTTTAATAAATAAACAATATATAAGCACTTAGAAATGTGAAATTCTGAATACTTAAAATAAAAGCAGAAGTGCTGAAATATATATTTTTAAATTAAATGCTAGAACGAATCTACAGGCATACAGTATATATTATTGACCTATTATATTGGGTCAAATCAATACTAGTTAATGACGTAAAACAAAACAGTACTTAATACATTTTTTAAATAAAAATCGGTCATTATTTAATAATCTGTAGTATGTATTACATTCCAAAACCTTCGCGAGTTTTAAGCCAATATCATTGATAGATCAGTGATAATGTTATTACGAACTCTATGCAGCAAATGCAGCAGATCTTGGGTGGCATTATCCAAGCTCTTACTGCAATCAATTTAATCAGGAACTATTACTCCAACTCTGAACACGTATCTACATCTATTATAGTACTTATACGCTCGCGCTATACCACGATGGATGTAATTTGATTCTTTTGAATGCTGCAGTGGAGGAGGGTGGAACATAATTCGCTTTGTTTTAATTATGGATTTTAAAGTTGCTAGTAGTAAGTTACTAGCATTACAGCAGTTCATTTTTGTTCGTTCAAAATATACTCGTATTTCAACAATAGAAAATAACACGAAAAGGTTTCGTTATTGAGAGTATTGAGATAATATTCAAAAATATTCCTACTAATATGAAAATAACAAAATAAATCTGAAAAGATTTTTAAACTATGTATAGCTATTGAACCATTGAAACAATCATTGAAAGTACTAGTCCGATTTGAATTATAATGATTTATGTTGCCACAGTCACATATAAATCAAAACACTATCATCAAAACGTCTAATAGATAGAAAGTGATATACTATCAAATATATTAGTGCAATATTTATCTTTCTAAGGAGAGGCTTATGTCCAGCAGTGGACTATTAAAGGCTGTTGATGAATATTTATCTGTAAAAAATGATAATTTAGTAAAACTAAAACAAAAATAAGCTTTAATAACAAACTAAAATAAACAGTAAAAAAGGTTCCACTGTAAAAAAGGAACCACGGATATAGTCAGTATTCGGTTACTTCACTGACTCGGAAAAAGCGCATAAAAAACTATTTATATATTGCTAAGAAACGGTTTTTCGGCCCACTTGTGCCAAAGCATGATCCTTCCCCTGAAGGGGTTCCCATAGTTCACCGTCTGGATTAATCATCAGTTCAATTTATAGCATTATCATCCAAGTAAGGGAACCAGGAAACAAACTAGGCAGGTATCCAGGGAGCAAACGACGCAGGACAGCACCACATTGCAATGAAAAGTAAACCTTGACACAAATCCTATACCTACCCGTCTGGCCAGCGTCTTGTATTAGACCAAAACTTCCTTTCTAAGGAGAGTCCTATGTGCAGCAGTTGTCTACTAAAGACTGATGATGATGATAATAATTGTTTGCTTAAATATTTAGTTACAAATGAAGCGAAAAAAGGCGTGTTCAAAAATCAAAACAAACGCATATTCTTTTATTACAGAGGTGCAGTTCGTCAGACATAAAAGGGACTTAGCATCAGGGAATATAATTATAACACAGCATTTCAGTGAAAAAGTTGTCACTCCTGGAGAAGAGGTACGTCTCCAATTTTTTTCAGAATTCCGTGTAACTTCATTTTGATTAAGTGCTCGGATCAGCTGAATCGACGCTAAGGTTTTTGCTGCCCGATTGTCAAAACTTGCACGTCTGAATATCTTTAATGACTTGGCGTAGATATTTCTGGCTTTATTATGTATGTATTCACAAAAATTGCATTTAAGTATCTTTATCTGTGTTTCAATATCCATAGTGCAAACTGTGGTTAGAAATGTGTAATGCTTTCAGATTTACGCTGTATTGAGAAAAAACATGTTTTTGAGAACTGATGAAATTTGCTAAATATAGATCTCCATATTACTGACAAGTTGACTTAACACAAATGATGATTTATTATATATATACCTCATAGCAATTATGTACTAAATAAAACACAACAAAAGAAATTGCCACCGTCGCAAGTTTTAATCACAGAAATAGCAATATGTATCATATTCCAGCTACAAATACTTTTATCACTGCCAGTACCGACGCTAGGAAGTCGCTAAATTTTTAGTTTGTCATGTAAAAAGGTTATTTTTGTGTACATTCATGTACAGTTCATTAAGTCTTTTAATAGGTGTCTTTTCATTTTTTTCTGTAAACAATCTTTTTAACCAGATTTACTCCGTTTCTCAATTACGTCATTGCCGAACTCTTTTATTTTATCCTCAACAGCCCTTGTTGAAATTGATTCTTGTTTTTATTACAGGTTAGTCTTCAATGTACGGCAACAGCAGATAGGCCTCCAAGATTCATTTGGGAAAGAGATGGAGTAGTTATATCATCCAATACAGATCAAAGGTAAATATTTCTCATAGAGTTTTCATGTGTGTATTAGTTAATATATTTAAATCTACAACAAAAAAAAGGTTAATTTATAGACTTGCATTAAAAATCTTTTTTAATTATTTAGTCAGCTTTATGGAGTGACACTATGTGAAAATATACAGGGAGGAACTTCTAATGAAGATTCACCGAACTACGGAGTAACTGCTAATCCTGTATCGCGATATGAATAAATATCTCGCAACTTACCATATATACAACTTACCGATATCAACCGTTGGACCGTGGCCCGCTAGGCATGATCACCTGGATGGAAGGAAGGAAGATGACATACGTTCCTCCACAATGGGCCACGGCCCAACAGTTGTATGTGGAAGTCGCCACAATTGCTCGAAACTTTTAAAATATAATATTCCTAATACTTACAGCGAAAACTTTAATAGTGAGATGCAGAACTAGTATTACCTTATAACTCTGAAGATCTTCGGTAGATGCTACTGAAATGAGTCGCTATAGTTTTAATACTCTCTCTTCACATTTTTTTAAATTTGCAAATGTTGTGTCTAACTCCGTTTTCACATACATTGATTATGGGCATCGTTCTTCAATTTTCCCAGATATACCCTAGGCCAAATGATGTCATCAACAGGTGCAGGAGTAGTATCACAACTAAATATATCACGATCTAGAGTAGAAGATGGAGGGCTGTATTCATGTTTGGCTTTTGAAGGAGAAACTAATACTGGACATGCATCCAGAATTGAAGTATATGGTAAGTAAAGGATTTTATTTTAACTAAAATTTACGGGTTACTAAAGGTTTCTAACATCTTTATTACTTTTACAACTTATTCGCCTTATCACCAGAGTTTGTGTGATATGCAAAGATTTAGCATTAAGTGTAAGGCGTAAGTGTTGTCTAAGGTGTTCATGATAGTTGAAATAATAGTTTCAAATTAAAACCTATTTTTGAATCGGAATAAATAATAATAATAACCTTACACATTTGAAACATGGCAGTCTGATCCGAAACTTTACAGGGCCTCTGATAACCAGACATCTGATATACATACTTACATATTTCTAAATACTTTCATATTATAGAAAAATTACAAAAAGACAAAGAATAAATAATCATCACACAAATATTTGTCCTGGGTTTGAATCGTACCGAAGCCAAAGTTCGTGGCCAGTCAGCGTCCCTAACCACTAGGCTAAATCGGGTTGTCTGTCTGTCAATCTGTGATATAATTTTGATAATTCCTTTCAGGGCCACCTTATATTAGAACTTTGCCGCCAATAAAAGTACAGAGCGGAGAGCCCTTAAAGCTAAGATGCCCGTATTATGGATATCCAATAAGGTATTTATTCCTTTTTATACACTTTGCATTTCTGAAGTCTATTTTAAGTGTCTAGAATTGGCCTACCGTTTTTACCTGACTAAGCAAGAAAAAAGATTAATATGATAGTAAAAATCTTTAATTCAGGCAATTTATAAATTTTGTTCCTATTGTCTAGTTAAAATACATTAAAGAATGGCTTTATATGGGACAAAGGTCGGGTTGCTTCTGACTCTTAAAACTAGGTGTGAACCTATGTTTTAAGTTGTAAGTAGTTTCTCGCTCTGGCCACTTTATAGTACAAATTCTCAATACTAAATAACAAAGGGAGCATGCAGCGTATATGTATCGGGTATTGTATTTATTTCGTACATCCGTGTGAACGAATGTACACATATACACTTAAAAAATTGTGTCATCTTATTCTCTCGCCGACTTAATTCTATATACATTTATATATTTGTTTCTTTATCGAATCGTTTCGTTTCATCGAATTTCAAATTACAAAGATTCTAAAGAAGTTTCACTTCAACGCTTGGTTTTTTCACTACATTTAAAACTGTGTACGCTTCCATATAGTCTTAGATTCATTTATAATAGAGACCAATTTTCTTCTACATCTGACATTATTTATAAAAATCTCTTTTTACAATGTCTAGTATGTTCTCTATATTTTAAGTTCAATTTAGGGGCTTTCACATTCAGCTGCAGTGCTTAACCGCCCATCATTACCTCCCACCATACTATGTGCACAATATATAAATAGATCAGCAAATGTATCAGGCAATTTGCTTATTTACAGTAAATTAGAATGGGAACACAAAGGCAAGAAAATTAGTAGCTCAACACTTTCCCAACATACTCGATACAAACGAACATACTTTACTACTTCAAACAACAGTAAGAACACGAGAAGAAAACGCAAGAAAAGACAACTATTTGAATCAGGAGAAGACGGGGTTCTAAACATAGCTAGAGTTGTAAAAGAAGAGAATGGAGATACATATACTTGCATTGTATATAGTCCATCGGGTGAAATGGCTAGAAGGTAAGAATTTTTGACTTATCTCTGAAAATTGTTAAGTCACATCGAAACTAATTTTAACTTTACCTTTTTATCAATCTTGTACCTGAACATTGAATAAATGGTACAATTCTGACTCAGCGTTTTTTTAATATGGGCCTTCTAACCGATCATTAAATAAAAAATGTCATTCATCCTGGTATGCAATTAGAATTTCTGATTGTCCATACTTTTTTTTAGAAGTTCAACAATCCAGCTGTATTAGTCGATCCTGATTATTTATAAATTATTTGATTAATTTTATTACGTGTGTAGGTAGTAAGTATGAATACGGCTAAAGCCCTCAGCGTTGTACTATAAAAACTTTTATGTTTAACTGCTGGATACATTTGCAGATCTTTTGAAATTCAAGTTGTAGAAGCTCCAGAATTAGACGAACTTCGTATGGGCAGTGGACTAAAGGAAGGACAAATAGTGCAGATTACTTGCAACATTATCAGTGGGGACCCACCTATTTATTTCTCTTGGTTGAAAGATGGAAAAAAACTGCCGGCAACTTTGAAGGTACTGTTGTAATATTGCCATCACATCAACAGCCTTTAATAGTCAACTGCTGGACATAGACCTCTCCTTAGAAAGGAGGTTTTGGCCTACTATACCACGCTGACCAGACGGCTTCGTATAGGGTTTGTGTCAAGTTTTCCTTCTTTTTTCAGTGCTGGTGTACTGCGTTGTTTTGCGCCCTTAGTCGGCTCTTACGATACCTACGGGATGAATTGGGGTAGTTCCGTATTCCTAATCCGTCACCACACGGACAATTTCCATTTAATGAATAAATACTGCTACTGATATTTTAAAGCATATTAAATCATAATTACCATGTCCAAGTCATGAGCCTTATACCATATTCCTTTTCAGATTACTGAGAGAAGCTCAGAGCTATTTAGTGTGTTGATCATCAAACGCGTGTCATTAGAGCACTGTGGAAAATATACGTGTATAGCAACCAATCATGTTGGTAAAGTGAACCAGAGTGCTGATCTTTACATTAATGGTAAGAATTCAAAAGCTTTGTTTAAATCTACATTGTAATCACAACTTGTAGTCCTAGGCTTGAGTGTAATGATTGATAACTAAATCTGCTTACAGTTGCCCCAAAATGGATAGAAGAGCCTACAAATACTTCATTGTTATTGGGACAGCGAGGTATAGTGTATTGTAATGCTAATGGATATCCCACACCTCAAATACATTGGATGAAGCGTGACGGTAAGTTTTAAAGACGATAAATAACGAGGGTCTCACTTCACTGGTATTCTCGTAAATCTAACAACCCCACGTTGATAATATGGAGGTAGAGTTTGGTTTATTACGTTCTTCATTATATAATCATCTCCTGTGTAATATAGAAATGATTTTATTAGTGTCTTCATTAAAAAATGACATGTTATTATTGTGTCCCATTTTGACTGTTTTTTTATGAGAAACTTATTGCAAATTCACAATGACTTGATACATCTGACTCATAGTCGTCTGATCATAATATGACAGGCAAAGCCCGTACTTTAGTAACTAGAATGCTGATAAATATATGTACGTGAAATTTCTATGTATTTGCACTGGTTGTTCTCATATAATTACTTTTCTGGGTCATACACGGCCTTCTTGCGCTACAGTTAGGATCAGTTAGGTTAGTGACCAATCCCCTGAAAATCAAATTTTATTTTTATTACTGAAATATAATATCTTACATACCAATGTTTTATAAAATAAAAAAATGCACAAGAGCAGAAGCTATCAACAAAGGCAAATGGTCAAGTGATCTCACAGGAAAGTCGGTCTAACTTTTTCAAATAATTTAGTTTTTTTTAAATTTACTATTTTAGGGCTTTTAGTGTTCAAATTAAAAAGTCTCATTGTAAGACAATATATGTTACTAGTGATACAATTTATTTTATGTTAAATGTTTCTTACACTATTTGAATTTAACTCACTTAATTAAAAAAACATTTAATTAAAATATCTTTTTCATCGTTTTCTTCTTATTCCAGCAACACTAGGAATCTGGAGACCAGTCTTAGATTTAGCTGGTGGAGGAGTCATGAGCTACCCCAATGGTACCCTGATTATTGAAGTAGTTTCACTTGCTGATGAAGGCATGTACGCTTGTAACGTAGAAAATGGAGTGGGCGATGCATTGAATAAAAATTTATGGATTAGCGTCAATAGTAAGTTTTATTGATGGTTTTGTGTGAGAAATGTTTATCATTTTTATTTATAAAATGCTTTTACAGTTAGTTTGTAAAAAAAAGTATATTTAGTAAGTACTGCAGGAGTTTTAAACAGTATGTAATTCAGATCATGTATGTGTATGTTTCAACTATAATATTACTTCTAGAGCCAGTGCACTTCGAGTCCGTGGGTGCTAATTTGACCACTAAGATGGGCCTTCCAGTGACAATATCATGTCGACCACTAGGAGATAATCCTATTAGAGTCAAGTGGTCACTGGATATGAAGCCCATTGATTTTACTTCTTCAAGGTAAGATGCTATATTTAATAACGCTTTAAGATATTCTTAGTCTGATTAGTTCAATTTATTGAAATATCCATTTACAAATATATTAAATTTTTGATTTAAAGTTTACTTACTTTAAAAAACAGACAATTATCATAATGTTAATCCTAGTGACATCTAGTGGGTATCAAACAAAGCAACTATAACACGACTACAATAAAAAGTACCCGAAATTGCCACGAAGTAAATGTACCCATGCATCGCAATAACTTCTACTTTGTCTTTCAATGTAATAGGTGATACCTAGGCATGCCAGCAGATGGCGTTAAATCCGTGTATTCCAATTTTTGTATGCAGGCTTACAATAACAGAAACCACGACGCACAGCGGTTTAAACAGCATTATAAATATTAATTACGTGGAAAGCCGAGATGGTGGTACTTATGAATGCAGAGCTAGCAACCCATACGGTGTAGCAGCATACAATGTACATTTGGATATACTAGGTAAGAATTTATTCTTAAGTTAACAGTACTTACTGTACTTCTAGTTGGTATGAAGTTTTTGTACTTTAGGTATTGGATGTCATGACTTTTTATTGTACAAATTACTGCTAATTTGCTTTGGATTCGGGATATATAGATTCTCTTGATATTTAAGCAGGTCTTATTAATATACTGTTAATCAAATACTCGGGGGCAACACTGTGGGTTTCACTATAGAGGACAAGGCAAATTATGAGGACAGTTAAAGTTCAAAATTTGGTAAAAAAAAAATAGTTTATGCATAGGTATGTATGTCTAAGTTTATTAAGTACTTACTCGGTATCTGATTAAACCTACGTTAACAAGACCTGCTTAAAAATATTTATTTATTTGGCTATTTCTTAGTGTTCCATGGATTTACGGTGCGGGTGACGGGTCCATCACGTAATAGATGGGGGCAACACATGCGACTTTGGAATCAATTTTGAACTTTAATTGTGTGTAACAATAATATTTATTAGCGAAATAATTTGCCTTATACTATATAGCGATACTCACATTATACTAATAACAGAATTCATAAATAAAGTATTGTACAAATAATTACAGAGCCTCCAACCCCACCCCTGGATCTTCAAGTTGACTCAGTGACCAGTAACTCAGCTAAGTTATCCTGGCGAGACACCATCAGCACCCACGTTCAGTACTATACGATGCAGTACACTACTAATGATTTTATGATGTGGGATAGTGCTAAAAGTATTAACATAACTAGGTAAGCAATCCAAGAAAAATATGAACTGGACGGCATTAGGGTCAACTAATTAAATATTAGAATGTTAAAGCAATAAAGCTCAAAATTATATGTAGGGAGTACAATCTATACCCGCTAAATCTGAGTTGCTTTTTGTGCACTATTACGTGTAATTTAGCTAGATATTACACATCTCCCAACATGCGCCAAACCAAAACTTTGTTCATCGTAGTCACATCATCAACATCAACAGCCTTTAGTAGTCCACTGCTGGACATAAGCCTTTCAAAGAAGGTTTTGGCCTACTATACCACGCTGGCCAAACGGGTTGGTATAGGGTTTGTTTCAAGTTTTCCGTTTCTTTGCAGCGCTCATGTCCTGCGTAGTTTGCTCCCTTAGTCGGCTCTAACGACACGCACTCGATGACTAGAGGTAGTGACACTCCGTATTCTTAATCTGTCACCACACGGACATTATCGCTACAATCAGATTTAAATAGGCGTTAGTGAAAAGTAAGTCAAAAGCAAAAAAGTTGTAAATAAGTATGTTTGCAGAAGTTGTGATTTCTTTGAGATTGCACAAGTAGTCTACAGATGAGCATAATGATAATACTAGGTAATCATAAATCTGTGCAAGGCCCATAAAAACGATTGATGATTTTAAACCTTATTTATAACACTACTCGACAAGAATTGAAGACAAAGAAGAATTGAATTATTTCTGTTAGTTAATGATATATTTATTCGCGGTCACAACTAAAAGTGCATAAACAAAATGTTTTTTGAGACCAGCACTTTATTTAATTCATTTCAGACAAGATAACGATCTACGGCAGAGCATAGAGTTGCGTGATCTTCAACCGGCTATGGACTACCGAGTTAGAGTGTCTTCGGGAAATCAAGTGGATCTGAGTCCTTATACACAGCCTGTTCACTTTACTACTCAACAAGAAGGTATGACACTTTTACATAACTGGAAAACACGCAGCTCATTGGTAGCAATAAGAGTTGCCATAGGGCTTTATACACAGTTTGAGTAAATTATCGTTGAATTCGCGTCGTTCGTTTGCATCCTGCAGTTTTTACTTCATAAGTGTAACATCTAGATCTTCTGGCAATGAATTTTATATTATGTCCTTAAGCAGAAGTAAAAGTAGTCGTGTTGCTTAGAAATAAATCAAGCAATGTACAATACATTGCTTGATTTATTTCGAAAAACACAAGCATATTCTCCAAGCTGTTCCAATAATTTTTATTTCTAAGCTAGCTCTGCCCTGCCACGTTTCGCTGTGACACGCTGTGTTTGCATTGATGAGAAATGAGGAACAAAATTGGAGCAAAAAGTAGATAAAAAAAACCATTAAAGGATTTGCAACAGTAAATTGTGTCAAAATTTAAGCTCAATCTCGGTGTAGAACATCTGTGTAGAACATCAACATGTGGATTTATATATATATATATATATATATTTATGCGTTTATATATATTATTATTATTATTATTATTAAGCCTTTATTGCCAACATAGTTATTAAATAGTTACACGTATTCATTATTAAATAGTTCATTATTAAATAATTATTAAATAGTTCAGTGTTAACATGCAATTAAATTAATTAACATTATAATTATATCAATACAATATTATTATTGTTATTATTATGCCGCAGTTATTGGGCGTCGGCGTGTCCTTGTGACACAAAGGCCTCCTCCAGCTCTTTCCATTCTGCTCTTGTTTGAGTTATTCTGGGCCACAGTGGACCCGCGTTCTTTTTTATCTCATCAGACCAACGTTTTCTTTGTCTTCCTCTTTTCCTTTTTGTTTGGAATCTAGGGGTCCATTCTGTTATATCTTTCGTCCATTTATTCCTATTCTCTCTCATCATGTGGCCTACCCATCTCCACTTAAGTGTTTTGGTTTTGACTACGACATCTTCGATTTTCGTAATTTGCCTTAAATCTACAGCTCTCTTTCTGTCTCTTTTTGTGTACCCCAGCATACTCCTCTCCATGGCTCTTTGACATGTGGTCAGTTTTTGGTTTTGTTTCTGTGTGTTAGCCCAGGTCTGGCATCCATAGGTGAGAATTGGTAATATGCATGTGTTGTACACTCTCCTTTTCATAGCAATAGTATATTGTTTACCCTTTAGCACTTCTTTGAGAGACCAAAACCTCTTCCATGCATTGGCTACCCTCCTTTCTATTTCTGAATCCATATGATTGTTGAAGGCAATAAGTTGGCCTAGATATATGTAGGAATTTACATATTCTATTTCTTCCTGATCTACTGAGATGCTTATTTGGGATCTATTTGTTAAAATTTTAGTCTTTGATTTGTTTATTGTTAGGCCCACCTTTCTGCTCTCACTTGACAAATCTTGGAGCATGTTTTTAAGGCTTTCCGGGTTATCTGTTATAAGTATAATGTCATCCGCAAATCTTAAATGATTCAAACGTGTTCCATTTATGTTAATCCCTATGCTGTCCCATTTCATCTTCTTCATGACTTCCTCTAGCACGGATGAAAAAAGTTTTGGCGAGAGTGGGTCTCCCTGCCTCACTCCCCTGTGTATTGGGAAAGTTTCCCCCGCTGTTTCCAATTTTATTCGTGCTTTGCTGTTGGAATATACATTTTTTATTACCCTTATATATTTATTTTCTATTCCTTGATTTTTCAGGGCTTCCCAAATGTACTGATGTTCCAGGCAATCGAAAGCTTTCTTAAAGTCCACAAATGCCATGTACAGTGGACAATCATATTCCTGACATTTTTCAACAAGCTGATTTATCACATGTATATGGTCTATTGTTGCGAATCCCGATCGAAATCCAGCTTGTTCTCTTGGCTGTTGTTCGTCAAGTTTTTTGGTGATGCGTTTTAGTATTATTTTAGAGAATACCTTGTATATGTTCGACATGAGACTTATTGGGCGGTAATTGCCTATTTCTGATCTATCTCCTTTCTTAAAGATGAGTATTATAGAGCTTATTGCCCATTGTGAAGGTATAGACTCCGTATTTAGGATAAGATTGAACAAGTTGGTTAGTCTTGATGTTGTCTCTGGCAATGTTGCTTTCATCATCTCGTTAGTTATATAATCAGGTCCGGGGGCTTTAAAATTTTTCTGGGTTTCAATCGCATGCTGGACTTCCCTTTCAAGAATCGGAGCGACATCTTCCGTTTCATCTTCAAGGTTTATGTTGCGATTTAAGGTGTTTCCGGTAGAGTAGAGCTTCCGGTAATAGTCTGTTGCTATCTTTAAAATTGGCTGTCTCCTTGTTTCTTCCTTGTTGTTTTTGCTTTTTATTTTCGGGATCCATAACGTCGCTTCTGTTAATTCTTTCAGTGCTTTATTAACACCACCAGTTTTAGTTATGTGCTTTTGGATACATTTGATTCTTTTATTTGACTTGTCTTGTTTTAAATTGCGACTTATTTCCTTACTTAGTTCAGTAATTTCCTTTAATGTTGTTTTAGTTCTCCTATTTTTAAGTAGTTCTTTCCTTTCTTGAATGAGATCTATTGTTTTTGAGCTTAGTGTATCTTCATTTATTTTTGTCTTGATTACTTTTCTGTACATATTGTTTGTAACTATGTCATAAATTTCTTGTGTTTTATCTTTTTCATTGGATGTCGTAATGTTCTGAGACGTTATATCGGCTGTCAAAACATTTTTCCCATGATAGAAGTGTTTCCGTTGTTTCTTTTGTTGTTTGTGAGCTAATGTTGCTCTAACCATGCGATGGTTACTATTAAAGTTGAAGTTATTTATTACGCTAACATCTTGAAAATAATTGGGTCGATTACTCGTTATGAAGTCTATTTCATTACGGTAGGTCCCATCGGGCGATATCCAGGTCCACTTCTTGGCATGCCTTTTCTTGAAAACTCCATTTAATATGGTTAAATTATTCTCCAGGGCCATATTTACAAGTCTTTTCCCGTTCTTGCTTCTTTTTCCTATGCCATATTTTCCTACTAGTGACTCTTCACCATGCTGCTGTTTACCTATTTTGCCATTGAAGTCTCCCATGACAATAATGTTCTTATGGGCAGTCTCTAGTGTAGTTGAAAGTTGGTAGTAGAAATCGTCTTTTATTGATTCGTCCGCTGCTTCTGTTGGCGCATATATTTGTACTATAGTCCACTTGTTTTTGTAGCCATGAAGCTGTATATTCAATAAGGCTATTCTTTCAGATATGCCCCTAAACTCCAAGATTTGTTTCTTTAAATGTTTCTTCACCATAAATCCAACCCCATACTGACCCCTTGTTTCACCTATATAGTACAGAATATAGTCGTCATGTTCTTCAATGTGGTTTCCTATTCGTCTTACTTCGCTAATACCGAGAATATCCCATTTGATTTTACTCAAAGCTATTTCTAGCTCGAGGAGTTTTTCTGTTGTCCTTAATGAAAGTGTATTTAGGGTGGCTATGTAAAAATTATTTAGTTTTTCTTTTGGTTTTTCATTTGCTTTTTCATTTGCTGAAGGGTAGCGGTCTTCTTTCCCCACGGTGACCAACCGGCTTGGGGTGCATTTTTTAGTTGGTGTATATGTAGTTTTGGTATTTGTTATTCTGGCTTGGTTCCGGGTGCCGGTGGTCCTTATAGGTTTTTTGGATCCTCTGACAGTGAGGCAGATCTGCTTCGTTCCATGTAGGTAAGTAAGTTGGGTTTAAGGATTTCTTTTCCCTTAGAGGATGTAGTAGCTGGGTTGCCTCTTAAGTCTATTTTCTTCTGAGATGATGAATTGGGTGAGTCATGACCTTCTCTTTTCCTTTTGTCTCTGTTTACTCCCGTTGGTCTCTTTATTATTATTTTGTCATGTTTTAAAAAGGCTATATTTCCTTTCTTTCTTTCTTCTTCCACTTGTGCTTGTAGTTGCTTCCGCTTTTCTAACATTTCTTTGGAGTAATCTTCTTTTACATATATACCTGGTGGCAGCTTTGACTTGTTTTTCAAAATCAAGTGTTTTTTCCATAGAGATGTGAGGGAGACTACGACAGGGCGGTTTTTAACGTTTTTATCCTTGCCAATTCTATATATGTTGCTAATTTCCGGGCTGTTTAGATGGGTGCCTGACTCTAAAATTGTGTCCTTGACGTGGTCTGCAAGTTCCGCTTCTGATTTTTCAACATCCTCAATGCCAAAAAAGACCAGGTTGTATTTTCTTTTTTCTCTTTCCATCGCCTTAAGTTTCTGCTCCAATGTAGAAATTTTTTCTTTGAGCATAGTGTTTTCCTCTGTTATTATTTTTAATCTCTCATCTAATGCTTCCATAACATTCTGCGTCACCGACACTGTTATGAGTTTGGTTTGCTGGTTTAACTTCTCATCCAGTTTTAACAATAATAATTCCATACTTTTGTTCATTTTTGGTTTATTTACTGACAACACTGGTAGAATAGTAGTTTAGATTATTGTGACTTGCAGCACTCACTATATACTTCAGTGTCAAAATGACGTTGCTTTCTTCAAACTGATTTGTTGGTTATGTTGGTGGCACTGTTATGACTTTCACTTTTAAGTTATATTGTTGGATTTTCTATTGCACTTTTTACTTCAAGAATATTGTTCCACGCTTTGTTCACTTGCTTATTTCGTTTTCTGTTGTCTATTTTGGTAGATTTTGTATTGTGGCACTATTATTTCACATTTATTACACTAGTATTAGTTAATATTTGCGGAGGACTTTGACGTACGTGTTTATGCTACGAACACCGGAACCGGAAAAACCGTTTATATATATACATACATTTTAAACTTTGACGCGTTCTCCTGTAAAATTGCTGAATTGCAGATCCTACTTTCTTAATAGGGGTGGGCGACATATAAAATAAAGATTATAGTATAATGACATTTAAAGTAAATCATAATACATAACAAATTTACAATCACATTCCACAAAATTAAAGCAACCAAACATATTACTATAGACATGATCGATGTTTAGCTTTATCAATGACCGAGTTGCATGTTGTAGAATTTTAGAACCAAACATAAATTAATAACTCTGTAAACATAAGTCATTATTTTGATTATAAATCTTGCAACATAAGCTAATATTAATATAATACACCTATTATTATTAAGAAAAAAAAAAAAATATGACTTCGTGTACAAATATATACATCGGCGGACTTAATGCCTAAGGCATTCTCTGCCAGTCGACCGAATCACTGCACTAGACATTGAAGATTTTTACAGTTTTGCTAATAACAGTGTCAACCGAAAATGACACTTTCTAAGCTGTATCTGCTTCGAACCGGAAAGATCATCACCACAGCATCTAGAATCGATTTCTAACGAGTAAGCAGACATGTGAGCCGCACAATCGATGTTGGATTGCATCTAAAATTGTATTTAGTCCTTATTGGGGAGAAAATTACTGCAAAAAAATGTGATTTTATAAGAAACATTATTATACGTCGGTTCTTCTCATGCTTACACGGTTATTTGCACGATACCTATGCCTAAAAAGTTTTTCTCAGTTTTTTTTGTCTGTCTATCTGTCTGGTTATTTTGGGTAATCTTCTAAACGGTTGGATAGATTTTGATACTATTTAACTATCAGGAAACTGTCAACATAAGCAGTACTTATACGGTAAGGCATTCAATAACCTCAATAAAACCTAAATATGAGACTCCAAGCCTAGGCATGAATGATGAAGGTTAATGCCCTCGTCGGACCCTCGGAATACGCACGCTCGCTTCTTTACTGCTGTGAGCCTTTACTTTATAATTTGCTGTGATGCCCGCTGGTGTTCTAACTGTGCGAGGTCGGCCGCTTTTACTATCTTCGAAGCTTGAATCTTCAGTGTGTCATTTGATAGTGCGAAAAACAAATCATAGTGTTTATGACAAGTTTTGTAGAATATTGAAAATCTCTGTTGCCGCGTAATCACAGCGGTGCAACGCGATAACCACGAAACTATTAGCCTTCTTCGACCACTATTTGAAAATATTTTTTTTTTTTGGCAAACGCGAACGTTCAGAAAAGACAAGGCAAAATTTACACAAACCCTACAGGAACCCGTCTAGCCTGCGTGGCATTATAGGCCTCTCTTTAAAAAGGAGGTTTTGGATAGTATTTCCAGCAGTGGACTTTTAAAGGCTGTTTATGATGATGATTTATTGTTATTTTATCTGTTTGCCATCCAAAAAACGAACTAACAAAGTAAATTAGACTTTTCATTTCCCATAAAGCATGCCCCTGTAATTAGATAGTAATATAATGGATAAAACATCCATTTTGAAGACACAATAGCTTATAGACTTCATTTAATTCTTTATCGATCTTCGATTGTTGTTTAAGCAGAAGTTAAGGAATAACAGATTTTATATACAACTGCATACATAAATATGTAAAATTGAAGTTTTTACAAAGTGTAAACAAATTTAAATTTTATGTTTGTATTATTAGAATTGTTTTAACAGTCAGTCGTATTTGAAAAACGACATATTATTAAACAGTTACAAACCGGTGTTGTGACCGGTCAACAAATAACTTCTCATGGGTTATTCCCACCTGTATTAAAATAGAATTTTAAATACTTTTCCTTGTTGAAAACATAATTTGTTGGCAGTATCCTTAATGTGCATAAGTAGTTTTTTTCTAAAAGATTGAAGATTGCGGTGATAATTAATGAATACATTACCTGTTAGGTATTAACGTATGCAACGTATTTCGTACTCCTCTCTAATTTAGAGGAGGCAGAACTCTCCAAACATCTTGGTGTGATTAACTTGCGCAACAGAGACAGATTTTTCTTATGTCTACTTTAGTCATTTTTTTTAAAGCGTAGGAAAGGGGGACAAACGAGCGTCTGCTTACCTGATAGTAAGTGGCTATCACCGCCCATGGACACCTGCAACTTAAGAGTCACAAATGCGTTGCCGCCCTTTGAGTCTCATCCCCACTCCAGGGGAATGAGGGCTTGGGTAACTTTATTCACTCGTAAAAAGCAGCAAAAGAATTGGTTACGGATTTTGGTAATGCCTGTAGTATTACTCCGGTCAGCTAGCCCATATATACTGAAACATGGCTCTTTGACGATAGTCAGGAGTAAGGGTCCATCTTAGTAAGGTCTCTACCTGAGTCCCAGGGCATAAAATTCGTTGACACGAAACGTAAGATTTTAGGCATTTCGACCGCCTTGCCGCTTTGTCTCGGTGAGGTAACGACATGTGTGGTTATCACATTCATGCCTCGATTAAAAAGCCTGTTTACGTATGCAGATTCTCGATAAGGCAATATATACATAGGCATCGGTATGGGCATAAGGCATTACACGAGGCAAGGCAATACCTATCTGTCTTATTTGATGTCGATAAATAGATATCGAACTAATTATCCAGTCACGTCGAGATGCTCAAACAGTCTAGATTCTAGATCTTTTTAGAACCTCCATGTCTAATACTAAAGTCATCGTGGTCCTACAAACGGGACATCGTGTTGATATATTCTATTAGCGATAGCAACAGGGTAATAATAGATGGGTCTACTGTCTATCGGTCGGTCTACTACTTTTGGTTTCTTTTTGTATGTTTTCATCATTGTTATTTAACTTTTTGTGTGCTGTGCTTTGTGAAATAAATAATATTCTCTTCTATTCCATTTCATTTCATTCCATTCTATTCTATTGTACTGTTTAATAAAAATACAAGAAGAGAAATAGTTCCTTAATTGACAGTTGAGTAGTAGAAAACTTACCGCTCGAGAGATGTATTCGTATGGTCGTGAATAAGTAAAACATCGTTAAAATATTTTATATATTTACTTTTTTCTTCAAAACATATCTCCGCACATACAGTCGCAAACAAAATTTCATTTCTTACAAAAAGTTATACTCGTAACCTTTTACATAAAATTTAAAGAATATATATTATTATGTCTGTTCTGCTGCTGATGCACTGCTCATAATCCAATATTTATATTCATACACATTAGTAAATACAGAAGGTATATTTTCTGTGCCACAAGGTGTAGAACCAAAACTGACAAGTCCAACTACTTCATATCTTCCGCCATTATCATTCATGAGTGGCAATCCACCGTCACCTTTGCACGAATCCTTGTCTTTCTCGCCTCCAGCACACAGCTGGCCCTTCCATAAAGTAATGTCTCGGCCATTAGATGAGTAAGCTAGTTGACATTTCTGTGGATGGATGAAAGATAAATATTTAAAAACCTATGGTTGGCGGAATGTAGGTGTTTAAAGGTCATCAACTCGGTGGTCCATCGGTGGTCCAGAAAGCAGTACAATAGACATAGACACGTTCGGAGAGGGGGGGGGGGGGTCTGGTTAATGTAGTCAGCGTTTACTCATAGTACTTCAGACAAAGAATACTAACCACTTGAGGCGAGGCGATGCTGGTCGGGTACCGGATGGCTCTAATGAGCTATGACCTTAATACGTTGCTATCTTTAGGTATGTGGACATGAGTATTTATGTCCATTCCTATATCATTATAAATTTGAAAGTGAGTTTGTTTGTTTGTTACGGCTTCACACCTAAACCACTAAACCGATTTTAAAAATTCTTTCACCAATGGTAAGCTACATTATTAGCAATTAACATAGGCTACTTTTTTCGCTATAACTGACATACACGAGGAGCCGCGGGCAAAAGATAAATAATGTAGTATCAACTATACTACGCATAAAAGTACTTTTCAGCTATGGTCACTTACCGTCAGCTGACCTATCTGCAAACTACTTTCCAAAGTATATGCAACCTTACCTCTTGAGGTACGAAAGGCAGACCCACGTGCAACTTAACAGGGCTTGGTCCCGATGCTGTCCCCCAAGCAGCAAATTTGAGCCATTTAATCGGGTCCTTTGTCAGAGTTATATCCGAAGTTGGCAGACAAATGGGTCGAATGAAATCTAAAAGAATGTAAAAATTCAATAAGACAGATCCCACGAAACGGATTAAAATGAATTATATTATTCACCAGGTAAATTCGTTCTTGGTGATACGAGTTTATTATGATTATACATATTTAAAAACCAGACCTATATTTCACTATAAAGTTTACCCAATGTATAAAACTTCATTAAAACAAATAGTGATTTCACGACCTCATAGAACACCAGTGCTTTTTGCTGAGTGAGAGGTTACCGGAGGCCTAACAGCCCCTCTCCCACCCCGCCACTCCTACCTGCAAAGGGTGGCAACTTACTTGTCTTATCAGCTGTTCATGGGCGGCGGTAGTGATATACCATCATATGATCTGCTTGCTCATTCAAATAATCTCTCGTCTGACGAAGTTTGACACCTTAGCTATTACGTTATCTATATCCATACTTATATTACTAATGTGAAAGTAACTTATAATATATAATATAATATAATATATTTTATTACATTCACACAACGCCATCTAGTCCCAAACTAAGCAGAGCTTGTAGTATGGGTACTAGGCAACTGATATAAATACATGTATCCTTTTTTTTTGTAAATACATACATATTATACATAGGAACAGCCAGACCAAATCAAACATTAAATGTTCATGCACACAAATGTTTGACTTGAGCGAGAATCGAACCCGCGACCTTTGGAATAGCAGTCCGTTACACAAACCAATACGCCATCCGGTCGTCAGTTGGTTTGTTCGTTTCTCTTTCACCAAAGGAAAGCTCCCTAATCAGCGAGTAACATACTATATTTTTTACCGCGATAACCAACAAGTACGCGGGCGTACTAGTAAATAAATAATTATTAAAATGATTTACGTATACCTAAATCTTAAAGCAGAAACAAATTAAGCTTCTTGATCAAACCTGTAAATGGTGCCAATTCTGTCATTTTAATAAGAGCTATGTCGTTTCTTCTTAACTTGCTATTATCTTCGTATTGTGGGTGTATTATTATTTTCTCAATTGGTATTCTTATTGCACCATCTGTACAGTCCTCACCACCACCTAGTGCTGGCACACAGTCAGGGCCTTCGTGGCTCGTGTCATATTCACCGAGGATAATATTTTTTCTGTAAATATAAATACAGTTGATACAGTTGCCGTGAGTGGGCTTTGCTTCAATACGGCTTCACCGGAAACCAGTGTTTAATAAATCTTTTCGTTTCTTTTATCCGAGTGAGTGAGGTTACCGAAGATAAACCCCTCCCCCTTTTTTTAAAATGGGACTAATCCCACCCACACGCCCACCACTGTAACTCCTGTACACCAGGATCCACAGCAGTGACCCACGAACACACCGAGTTATGACACTCGGGAAGTCCCAGGAAGAAATTAAACTGTCTTGGAACCCGCAACGAAATTAATCAGAAGAAAATTGGAGGAGTTGGAAATACAGTAAATCCACTTCCCTCCTTAGCAAAGCGGCAGACAAAATGAAGTAAAATGGGCATACACCCTTTTAAACAGGGAAGCACCACGGCCACAAAATATTACGGGTGCTACGTCGTCCTCCTCCCCCTCCCCCTTCTCGTACCTTTCACATCGTCCTGGTTTGGTAGTTTGTTACAGGCTGATATATATATTCCAGACTTTTTTTTTTGGTTTGTGTTGTCCCACTGCAAGGCAAGGCAACTCTTTCACATTTTTCTATCATATGCTAGTTCAAATCAGTCTTTTCGGAAAGCGTCTAGATAGTCCACTAGATAGTCTCCACCAACATCGTGCGTGGCCTACCACGTCCTTGGGTCCGCAAGATGCTAAACGGCACGTTTAGCATCTTGCGGACCCAAAACTTAATTATAAACATTAATTTATTAAGTTCAAAATAATGTATTAATAAACATGGTGAGAAGTTAAACTTACGGAATAAAAGTTTTAATGATTGGTCCTGAAACGCAGTGAGCTGCAGTTAGAAGAAATTTGCCGCCGATAAGGGTTGCACCACAGATTACCTTTAACTTGTCTTCTTTTAAATATTCAATTTGAGCCAACCAAGGGAACTGGTCTATTTCTGTTCGATTTCCTCCTAAAACTATATAATGACATTGTATATAATAATAAAATAGCTTTCCTTATTAAACAAAAAATAAATTAAAATTAATTATAATAGGGTTGCCAATGATTAGTTGGTAAAATTGAATTACTTTATAATAAGAAAATTGAAATAATCATGCACGTTTAATTTGAGGACCCCTCAGGGTGAAAGCCTCCTCCAAAGAATTCCACTTTTTTTCTGTTTTTGGCGGTGGTCATCCATCACATTGTACATATACATACTATAATATCCCCTGTTCTATTTTCAAGATACATCATTATATATTTTCATTTTTTTTAAATTCTAATCTTAATAGTGTATACACCAGAAAGTGTGTTGATATCACTAAACTACGCTACTAGCTATTAAACAAAATGAAAAAAAAAAAATTCTTTTAGGTATTAAAAAACAAATACGTCAATTTTCATTAAAAGATTGGCTTTAGAAATTCTCAGTACTATAACAAGCCCATACTATGAAAGAACACCTAAGTTTTATGCATATTATAGATAAAAATGGGTCGACACTAGGATTTATAATTGTCAGTTATACAATCGTACGTACTTTTCGTCTCAGCCGATTCAACGCCACAGCATCCTGTTTCAGGGCCAGGTGGATAGGCAGATATAGCAGCAGCACACTTAGAATTGGCCGTGGCATCTGAAAATGAAAGATAATCTTTCTAAACTGAAAAAAGTTGAATAAAAGAGTCCTTGAATTTTCTTGTCTGTTCTTCCCCATATGATCTGCGTATTAGAGCAGGCATTTACTTTCATGCTGAACCTACTCTGACTTACATTTTACAATTTAAAATTTCGGCCTGTTAGTCTAGTGATAAGCCACCCTGACTGCTAAAAGGTCGTGGGTTCTATTCACACAATGATTTCTTCTGTGTCTGGGTATAATTTATCTATGATATGTATGTAGGTATTTAGAAATATTTAAGCGTGTTTATCAGCAATCTGATTACCGTAGCACAGGCTCTGCTAGTTGGAAAGCAGACGGCCGTCTGTGTGATGTACGAGTATTAAGTGATTATTATTACTTATAATAAGTTGGTAAATGATTTTGATCTCATAAATCGTGGGTGAGTTTTGATCACATAACTTACCCACGATGAATTATCTAATTCACCGTGGGTGAGTTATGCTTCAGTACAAACGGGCCAGCTCAAATGGTGTGATACAGAGCACTGGCGTTTGGCATTTCTTTTTTATTTTTCACCAAGTGAGTGAGGTTACTAAAGCCTAAACATCTTTCTCTGATTTTGGAGCAGGGATGCGACTCAAAGAGCGGCACCTTACTTCTGACTCTTGAGAGCCCCGAGTACTGTTATTCACAGGCGACGGTATACACTTACCATCAGGTGACCCGTCTGATCGTTTGCCCCCTACACCATTAAAAATGAAAAACATTTTATTAAATTGGACTTAGATGTAACTGAATATGCATATGCAATAATTAAATTTAATTTGTATAGCTTTGTATATTCTTCGCTTGTCAACCTGCTCAATCGATACAAAATCTTTATTATTTATCTCATCATCGTCATCAACATCAATAGCCTTTAGAAGTCCACTGCTGGACCTCAGTCTCAGAAAGGAGGTTTTGGCCTACTATACCATGGATGCCAGACGGCTTGGTATAGGGCTTGTTTCAAGTTTTCCTTCTCTTTGTAGTGCTGTTGTTCTGCATAGTCTGCTCCCTTACTCAACTCTTACGACACCCACGGAATGAATAGGGGTGGTGACACTCCGTATTCTCAATCCGTCACCACACGGACAATCACGGACAAACAACGTTGTTTATTTGAATGCGCTAAATGTAAATTTAAAAAGTTTGTTTATTATGTTTAACTCTAAACTTAATATTTTATTTACGAATGAACATTAGCGAAAACCAGATATCTTGTCAAGGTAAACAGTAGGATAAATAATGTGATGTCAAAACAGGAAAATAAACTTGTTTGAACAGGTTCTAGGCAAGCAAAGTTAGAAAAAAAGCCATTACCCGGCGACTTCCACTTTGGGTTATAATGACCCAAACATTTTTTAATGACAGGTACCTTCAAAATAAGTTACGAAAACATATTGATTTTGGTTATAGCTGGAGATAAGACTTCGTGTTATTAGATTTGCCTAGTTTCGCCGTCGTGTTATTAGAGTACCTAAGTCATTGTGCGCTAATAATGTGATCTAGACTTCTGCGAAGAAAAAAAAGGTAAATTTGACCCAATGTGGCATTAAATGTAACAAGTTTGTGCCATTGTAGTGGGACTTATACTTTTACTCAAAGAGTGTAAATTGATAACTGTAGAGATTGTACGTATCACAAAGGTCAGACGCCAGAATGTGATAAACTGTGTTCGACATTTGATGCTATCAACTCAAAGAAATGGTTTTGTTTATATTTTATGCTTTGCTGAACATAGACGGCATAAACAGCATTATACACAGAGAATCAAGATAAATGCGAGCCTCGTGGAATCGAATCTCATAAGCGAACATTCGTTTTTCCAACCTTTTTAAAAATTACCACGTAACATGCTCAAGAGGATTAGGGAATTCAGAGATGAAACTCCTGATGAACCACCAAGCAAGATTCTGGTGTTCCCAGGGGGTGCCAAAAGTGTAAATTGAAAAAGGGCAGAAAAACTACTCATACCTGCCATGAATGACAGAAGTTTATATTATGTCCTGAACACATAATTTCCTTCTGCGTAATTTGATTAGTGAAGATGACAATTGTTAGGTTCATGCTGACGTCATAATTTTAATTTTTATGATTATTTATTCAAGATCTTAGTCTAATTTATGTTCCTGAACCATATTATAAGCAAAATGTTTTATATTTTAAAGCTAAAGGGTTAAAGAAGATTATAGCACTATTATTTTTGTTATATTTTTATAATATCTATAAAATACAAGCAATAAATGTTTTTATTTCAAATTTTTTGTTATTTTTTTTTTACACAAATGTATAAAACAATACTATTCTATTTCATAAAACTCCGGTATGTATTAAGATTTTGAGTTAGTTAGTTTCTTTCTTTGTTTAGTAGGAAATAAACTATTTTCTAAACACGGGTAATTTTGACCCAACGTGAATGTTAGTGTAACAATTTTACACCTGGATGGCACCTCTTTTTTTTTAACTGTGGAAACCCCCTCAGGCCGTCACCCCACCGGCGGCGAGGTGGTGTGTCGGAATCGGACCGACTAAAACCACACGGTGTGCCACTCTGCGCCTGTAAAAGGAGGGATCTGGGAACTGCTGTTATAAAGACATCCGGACCCCTCCTAGCGCCTGCCCGCAATTGTGCGGGCACCACCTTCGGGTACATTATCTATTTAGGTCCTCACTGCAATCGCACAGGTGACAGGCGGGACTGAATTCCCTCCTAGCGACCGAGTGCAGGTACTTCCCAAACATCCGTGCCCGGAAAGGAACTGCGTCAATTGGAAGGAAATGTCTCGTGCTGCCGGCCTGTCCATTCGACGATGACCGGCTGGAGCACCTCCACGGTGGCAAAACTGTCAACCGCCCGGTACTCGGTCCTCAGTCAAATCCCACGGGGGAGTTCCAGCTATCGCGCACATCGATAACCGCGTATGGTTCTAACCGCCAATACCCTCTGAGGACGCTATTATGGGCGGTCAGAACCACTGCCCACAACGGTGCGCCGTACAGTGCCATTGACCGGACAATAAATACATGTTAAATTATGCATATTATGTTCGGTTACTACAATCACATTTCTGTATATAATTTCAAATATGAGAAACCTATTCAAATATAAAACTTAATGACTTTATATTCGTACGAGTATATAAGATGTCAATTCTGTCATTACATAGGTAATTATTAGTAAACACATAATTTTATTATGTGTTTTATTATATCTATATAATTGAAAGACCTCGAGACGAGAATTTTAATTATGCAATAAAATTACGTTTACTGCAAGAGAGGAAAAATTAAGACAAGAAGATTGTTTATTAATGGAATTTTTCGAAATGTGCCTGATACATTTGGACAAATGTATAGTTTCAGTCATTTATTGTATGTATTGAATCAAAATATTAATAAGTCACTTACAATCATTTAGTGCAGAAAGAGATCCGAAGAACACTAAAAATATCGTAATACTATTCATTTTGAAGTTTTAAAAATAGCACCGTAAGATATTGAACTGTGTGTTGTGTACGTCTTCCTCCGACAAGGTCGGAAAGCCGTTTAAATCAAATTCACAACAACAAGCACATTTATACCTTTTTTTCCTCTTGTCTCTCTGATGCAGCTATGGTTGTTTAAATAAAACCTGTAATTCAAGTTACTTCGTAGATTTACTCGTAGTTATGCAAAGGTGAGTGAAATACTCCTCTTCTATCGTTCACATTTCTAAACGAATTACTTGAATTTCTTTTTAAGAAATTGTTAAGCTTTTCAATTTTAATGTAATACAACCGATTTTTGTCGTTTACGAACCCTGGGCCCTGAGCATGACATTGTTAACTGCTTTAGAGCAACATGATTCGGGATCAAGCCGCTCTAATCCAGACAAGCCACGACTAATCTTTTGAGGAAAATTCCTTACAGGGATGGAAATGTCGGCTCCATTATCACATTCATCAACAGCCTGTAATAGTCCACTGCTGGACATAGGCCTCTCCTTAGAAAGGAGGTTTTGGCCTGCTATACCACGCTGGCCAGACGGTTTGGTATAGGGTTTGTGTCAAGTTTTCCTTCTTTTTGCAGTGCTGGTGTTCTGCGTTGTTTTGCGCCCTTAGTCGGCTCTTACGACACCCACGGGATGAATTGGGGTAGTTCCGTATTCTTAATCTGTCACCACACGGACTCATTTAGTAACGGCTCCATTATAGTTGGTTTAAATTAACATCCAAGTGCACAAAATTTTGACTCTTGACTGAATTCTAAAGACTTATCTTTAAAAAGTTAGAAACCGAAGACCACTATTTAGACCGTAACAAACTATATTTGACACTTCTTAAATTTTAATTGAAATCGAGTAAATTGAAGTTCCTATTATACTACAGAATATATTATAAAATTTATTTTAGCCTTTAATGTTATAATGACCGGTACTTTATTCTGTTGCCACATTATGTACAAAATAGTCAACTCAATACTAAATAAGAATTTGTAAGAGTGTATCTATAATTTACTCTCACAAAATATGTCCCTACATTAAATAAAATGTCTAATCAAATATTTTTTACCTTTTCAGCTCCATCGTCGACACCTCTTGGAGTACAAGTGCAACAAACTGACAATCCAGGAGAGCTGATAGTATCATGGCTGCCACCTCCAAGAGAAAGCCACAATGGTTTGCTGCAGGGTTACCATGTGAAAGCTGTTCCAAAAATAAGTGGAGAGCCAGGTTATTGTTAAAGTGTTATTGATTTCTTTCATTTTACCGTGTTGGTAAACAGGCTTGTCCGATGGCAAGCAGGTACTGGTAAGTATTAGCAATAGTTATGAACATCTGCCTTGACAACATTCTTTACCTAAAATTATAGCCAAAATGGTTTCTAGGAAAATGTCGTCATTTCTAAAACTAGATGACAAAGTATCCAGACAATTTTACGAGAATCTTCAAACTCAAGATTTATTCGTAAATTTAAATGCATATTCTGGTTGATGAGATGGTTGAACCGTTTAGAGGATAAAACTAACTCAGCGATCCACTGTACCGACTGCGTTAAGATTGAGTTCAAGAAAATAGACAGAAAAGGTGATTTTTATACTTACGTAATTTTCTGTGGTTGATTATTTTCAGTTCCAAGCGAATCCCAAACTAAAACAATGAAAGTAATGGCAAGAAAAGGCAAACAAGAAGTAACACTCAGTGGATTGTTGAAGAACATGAGGTAATATTAATTAATATAAACCTATCGTTCCTATTAGGACCATTTAAATATTTACCTTATTTATATATTTACCTTAATATATACTGAAATTATAATTTAAAACTTAGTTTAGTAGTGCATCTTGTAACAATCTCGACACGTTAAGAGGAATGAGCTTTCTAATAAAGGATGTTGGTATAGATATTCCATAAAGCTATGCTGTTGTTTCTACTTCTTGTTCAAAACTTTTAGGGCTCAAAGTAATTTTTCAAAGAAATCGTCACATTATCCAATGTTTTGGTGAAATATTGCAGGTATGCGGTTTCAGTCAGCGCTTTCAACACTGCGGGTAATGGTCCCTTTTCATTGCAAGTTTATCAAACTACGAGGGAAGGAGGTAATATTTTTAAATTTATATCGAATGAGAATTGATTATGAACTGTTTGGATTGTTATTGACTTTTTGATGTTGTCCATGTTTTTAAATATTTGTCAGAGGTCAAACGAGATTGGAAATCCCTAACCTGTGTCATATTTTTCTTCTTCTTGATTTACTAACTTAACTATCACAACGCTAAATAATCGTACGCGTGTTTATAAGTTTCAATATAAATAAATAAAATAATTGGTTCAAGTTCTAACTGTTGTTAAAGTTCAAACTTCATCGTCGATAACCTACTATTTACATTAGATACATTTAGTTTATGACTAATTTACACATGTCAACCATTAGCAGAGTTTTTTATTTATTTCAGCCCCTGAACAACCGCCATCTGGAGTAGAATGTCGAGGAGTATCGTCATCATCACTAAGGGTTGCATGGCAGCCCATCACTTCTCAAGGCGCTTCATTATTGGGCTACTCAGTTTATTATAGTACCGAAGGTTGGTTACAATTTTTTTTGTGCTGCTAAAATAAAATCACTTTAAATTTAGATTGTTGATCTATGAAGTATTGTAATTAATCAGGTATTTATCCAACGACAGACTTTTTTGCACAGATAATGTCGATTGAATAACATATGTTTGTTACTTTTTTTTAAATGACTTTTAAAGAACAATACAATACCACGGAAACCAAAATTTTTCACTTCCTTTTTGTATCTTTAGTAGGTCCCGCAGCCCCTGGGTTTCGTTATAGATATATTTGTGTTTTCGGGGCACTGCAGTTAAAAGAGTTTTAAATATCCTCTTCAATAGAACACTTACTTTATCGGTAAAAAACTCCTAAGCAAAAATTAGGAGTAAATAATATTTACGTGAAAAATTTATATTTTTTTTTGTGATTTGCAGACGAACCCTGGCAAAATATAAGTTCCCCACACACCGAGCTCTATCTACAAACACTATTAAAGTATACTAACTACACCGTGAAGGTTGCAGGATTCTCGAGCTATGGGCCAGGACCTTTTTCCTTTCCTATTGTTTGTACTACCTTGCAAGACGGTAAGTATTTTTTGTTAGTTTTGTGACTTCTATAATGCAAATACAATTTTATTACTACATTGTATTCAATAATGTGTCCGATATCCTTCTATACATTTCACAAAAAAATACTTTATGTATTTTATTATAAGGTTAAAATTCAGCTGGTTAACCAATAGTACCGGAAAATGTACCAAAACAATTAAAGTTGGTTTGTTACATTTTAATATTATCTTACAAACCTTAGACTTACTACTATATATTATATATTTATTGATTTTAATAACACCTAGAAGGAAAATTCAAAAGCTTGCAACTGTATAGCTAGAATCTGAAGAAAATACTACATTAAAAAATGTTTTCAGTCCCTGGTCCACCAGCAGCCATCAAGGTGTTAGTGTCTTCGGCCACTTCCCTACTCGTCAGTTGGAAGAGACCAGAACAGCCGAACGGAGACATCACACATTACACTGTTTACGTAAAACCTATGTCGAGGTAAATTATAGTAGATTTTGCATAACTGCAAATGGATCTAAGATTAACTAATTTGTAAAAGCAAGACATTTTCTATCTAGATATTTTCATCATCATCATCAACAGCCTTTACCAGTCCACTGCTGGACATAGGCCTCTCCTTAGAATGGAGGTTTTTGTCTACTATACCACGCTGGCCAGACGTGTTGGTATAGGGTTTGTGTCAAGTTTTCCTTCTCTCTGCAGTGCTTTTGTCCTGCGTAGTTTTGCACCCTTAGTCGCCTCTTACGATACCCACACTCAACCCACCCACTAGATATTTTACTGAATGCTAATTTTAGTAGGTACCTAAGAAAATATTTACACAATTATTAGCACAACCAAAAATATGAATGTAATTTAGTAGATACTCCCACACCAAGCTTCACTCTGGTCGAATCTGTCTGGTCGTTGGTAAATTCAACAACTGTCTAGTTTTGTCCCACTTCAGAAAGGACTCAAGGTCAAGATTCTTGCGGTAAACTGGGCTTCGGGTCAACTTTGGGAATCAAAGATTTTAATACCGGGAGTGTATTTAAAGAGAAAAATAGGTAAGAAGAAAATGTAATAGAACTTTAAGAGCTAGATAAAGTTTGGGTCGCATACTTCTAACTTAAATGGGCCTTTGCCAGGCAATCCGAGCCATTTAACATTCACCTATTTTCAATTTCGAATTTCAGCACAACATCTCCTCAGAGTTACCGTGTGGAACCAACACAGGAAACATCACACCACCATGTTACATTTCCTATATTAGGGTTATCAACCGGCAGGCAGTATGAAGTGTTTGTCAGAGCTCACACAGCGGTTGGTGAAGGAACGCCGAGTAACAGAGTGCATATAGATTTGAGTTCAAAAGGTTCGTGGATTTTAGATTAAATTTATATTTTTGGCTCTGCTTAAATATAAAATAATGAGCATGACTTATATGTACAAATACAACTACTAAAATATCCATATTTTTTTAAAAATTTTAGCTTTCTTCGTGTCTATTTACGACATTATTTTTAATATACTTACAGTACCGGTGACTTAACTACGTTTAGTAGTTTTTGATCTATGGCTCACTAACATAGAACATATATATATGTTCTGACCTCCAATTAGTTAAAAGTATACCAAAAAGTAAATTAATACCGATACGACCTTAAACCTTCAAGAAAACGATACGACCTTAAACCTGCCTCGTTGCATGCCTTCATGGGCAGCGGTAGTCACTTTCCACCAGGTGACCCGTCTGCTCGTTTCGGCCCCCTTTTGATAAAATAATAATAATATTAATGATTAATATTCAAAATGGATGACACCCATTTATCTGTATATCGTCATGATTATTGCAAAATCAATGAATATTTTGTCAAATTATCTTTTTTTTTTATTTCCAGTGGTAGCTGGCGTAGCATCCTTAGGTGGTCCAATGTCAGTAGGAGTAGGCAGTTCCCTACTCCTAGTATGTCAATGTGTGGGAGTACCGCCACCCCGCACCGTTTGGTACCATAAGCATAACATCATAACGCATCATCCAAGATTTACGAGAAACCACGACGATAGCTTGTTGATAAATAGTAAGTTTATGACATATAATAGTAAGTTACATATTTTAAATCATAGGTGGCAGATTAACTGCTGCGGTGGGCGATAGGATGGCGGCCTGGTCGGCCTGCGATCGGGCCGCAACATATTATAAAGATTGGCCAATAGGCGGGGGAAGCCTTCTTTCTCCGGGATAGGGCCTGGCTAGGCTCGGCGTCGATCTTGGCAGGGCGCCTGAGACCGGCTGACGGGGTGATTTTTAGTGAAGAGGTATTGGTAGAAAATGTTGATAAAATTTAGGAGTTCGTAGTCTGTAGAAAACTCTGAATAGTTGACTTTTGCACAGTTTGTAAGTTATTAGAAGGAAAGGTAAACATTGCCTATCTAGTAGTCATAGTCTATCTAGTAAGTGTTAGGAGGGACACTCGGGTGCTGCAGAGAAAATAGTTCCACTTGGCCATTTATTGAGAGCACATTGTATGGCACACCGTAAAGTTTTAGTTCATTTGACTGTAGCGTAGATTAAATTCGATTTTGGTCCGAGTCAGTTTAAAAAAATCAAGCACAGCAAATAGATATTACCAATTAAACTCCTGTCAGTTTGATTATGCAACAATATCCTTGCATAAATACGAATAATATTAAAAAGATAGGTACTTTTAAATATTGGTGGGCTTTTAAGTATTTTTAATATTGGTTTGCCTAAGTTAATGTTATTTTCTTGTAAAAACAAATGAAAGAAAACGTAGCTAATTCAAAGATTTTTATTTTCAGATATAGACCAATCTCTAAGTGGCAACTATACCTGTTTGGCTAAGAATTTGTACGGGTCTGACTCAGTTTCGTACTCTGTGTCAGTTCTACCCACACCAGAGCCGCCAAGCTTGCGAGTGACGTCACACAAGAATGCCATACACTTGCAGTGGGATTTACCTACGAAACTTGGTGGGAAGGTGCAGAAAATCAGTAAGTTTTTTTTTGCAATTGGATGGATTTGGAGTCAAGTGATTTCGGCTTCGGGTACTACTTACTGCACGATTGTTACATGTGAACAAATTTCTAACATTTAGCTGAAGGGGCTAGCAATAATATTAATACTTTCTACTTCCTTCTTTTTCGAATGCCTTTCCGAATAACGAAGGTTAGCAGTCAGTTCTGGATACATCTTTTTGATCTTTGCAACGCTAAAAAAAGATCGGCAGCGCTTGCGAGTCCCACTTATTCCCGTATGCTGCGTAGCTAGAACTTTTTTCTTCAGTCAACAACTCTTCTTCTAGCAACTATTCCCATCACAATGAGCAGTAAAAATTCATAGTTTTTATACCTAAGCACGTGTCCGAGGTTTACAACTATTTCTATTTTGGGTTCTATATTATTTGTGTTTGTTAAATAGTGGTGTAAAATGATCAGATTTCTAACTGAGTTCTCACCGAAAAAATGTATTTTAGGTTATAATCTGACTTGGAAAGAAACAAATGGTAGCTGGCAAGATGCTTGGTCTAGTCGCACGTCTCTGCAGGGCGTTCAAGAATATACTCTTCAAGGACTTAAATGTGGTACTAAGTATTCCATACGGATGACTGCGGCGAATAGTGTGGGTGCTTCACAGCCTACTTATATTGATGCCACTACTTTAGGTGGAGGTGAGTGAGGAATGGAAAATGTTAACCTATAATAGTGTAATTCATTGCATTGCTCGGTTTCACCAGAAAATTTAGATGTAGTTTGTTTTATTAAAATATAATATTTGGCCATTTATTTAATTATAAACGCATTTCATCTCCATAATTTTATTGCATTCTACTGTTGTAGACAATTTCAATTCACAATAAAGGTAATATCAAACATAAGCTATATTTCACTTATATCGATCGGCGCCTATTAATATTTACAATTCCGTGGTATTTTTTGGAAAATTCTTTAATTCACAGACGGTCTCACTACAAAACATTGATAGGATCAGAATATCTGCAAGTGCAGTTTTATTATTTGATATAATTCGTCACTTTTGAACCTTTGGAGCCTGTACTTTCTGTTTGATTACTCATTTCAGCAAGTTACTTAGTATATGATTAAAATTAACATAATTTTTATTTACATCGCAGTTCCTATATCACCAACAACTACTGAATGGTTTTGGAGTAATGCCACACATATCTACATACAGTTAAGCGGCTGGGATGACAATGGCTGTGAAATCACAAGGTTTGACGTCGATTTCAAAGAGTACGGCAGTAAAGTATGGAAAAAGGCTGATAATAGATTGGTAAGAATTTAAACTTAGAGTATAACAATCTTTAAAGCATAGAAGCCTAAAAATTAGAAACTGAATCGTTAGATAATATTGCCAGTTCCAAATAATAATTACATTTTTCTTAGGAAACTAGGTCATTTACTAGAAATAATCACAGTTCGTAGTCTTTTATTAGCAGGTGTTGATTATGTTACGTTTGCCGATTCAGTTTAAGTCAATTTGTCGTGGTTTTCTTTTCAAAAATTTAAATTAGCATTTAGACGTACGAAATCAGTTTGCTATATTCTGTTGCAGCCAATTATGGATCAAACCTGGAGCCATTACATTTCACCCTCAATTCTGAACCAACCGAATTCATTTGTGCTAGCTGAGCTAGCACCAGCACAGTGGTATCAAATTCGAATAACTGCTGAAAACGCTGCAGGAATATCTACATCATTGTATAACTATGCAACTACTACTGCACAAGGAGGTATGTCCATTATGTAGATACACAAAATCAATACAGTTGTAATAAAACCGTAGGAAATAAAACATTCATAAAAAAACCAACGACCAAATCAAGAGTTACCAAAAGTTAGTAAAGTCTAGCATGACGTCTACTTGTTTTGGAATCGTTTACGTTCAGTAGAAGTACAAATTGAAAATTTCATATTTCTGATATCAGGTTTTATTTAGGCAGGGAGGTGCAGATTCCATACGGTAGGCAGTGTAGCATAGATCATTTAATTCCTGATGGTAGATAGATTTATAATATTTCCCCCCGAACATACAACAATAACTTGATCATCTAATTTAGAAAATAATCTTCTTAACAGCCTACTATGGGTACTTGTCATTAATCGCTAGAGATCGTGTTATTTTACTGCATTCTTTATTGCAGAAGCCATTGGACCGCCGTCGGAATACTTTGACTTGAATATGTTAGTGATCATCTGTAGTTCAATTTTATTGATGATCTGTTCTCTGGCCTGTGTTTATATCTTGGTCAAGCGGCATAAGTAAGTACTTAGTCCAAAAAATAATTATGTTATTTTGCTTTTTATTTCCCCATCAACTTAAAAGTAGTTTTATATTTTCATAAGATAAAACCATTATCGTTTTAATGTTAGCAATTTAGATTTTTTACATAGTTTGAAGTTTAGTTTGTCTTATTCATCATTATTTAACAATGTTTTATGGTCAATAAAATGTATTATCTTCTTCCAGTATTGTTTATCATTTGTTATTTCACTACTTACTTCCTTTCTAAACTAGATCTCCGATCTCCTGATGCAGCTAATCCACCTTTTCTATCGTTATTGGCGCTACTTCTTCTCTTTCTCTGAAGCATTTTTTCTTAATTTTGTCCATCCTAGTCCATCCTAGTAATTAATCGAGATCGCAGAATTTTACAAAAAGTGTATTCTAAAAACGATCAACTTTACACTGACAAAAGGAATTTGTGTTAATGCGTTATTTGCGATGATGGCTGTTCATTTTTTTCTGCAAACTAGATTTTTTATGTTTTGAATGTAACTCAATGTATTCTTTAATTTCAGTCAGCAACATCTTACAGAATATAGAAATTCTTTAACAGCAGAATGTAAGTCGGAACGAAGTAACGTTACGATTAATACACCTCAAAGTGTACCTCCTGATAATATGAATAACAGAGTATACAGTACTCCTGTACATCTTACAGCTGATAATAAACATGGTGAGTTTCCTTTAATTAACAGTAATGACAATTGTACCTAACTACAACAAGAGTATTCAAGATGGCACCTGCCATTGAGTTTGCCGATTGGTATTTTTAATATGGTGTAGGTCGTGTTAATAATTATTGTTTACTATAAAACTGATGACTAGTGGATGGATAACGCCGCCTGTGCATATCTGTAACTCATGATTCCCAAGTGTGTAGTCTCTTTGAATCCTCACTCTAGAATCACCGGCGGTTTGAGCCCCAGTAACCTCGCTCACTCTGTTCAAAGCAACGTATAAATAGCCTAAACAGGTTTTCTGAGAGGCAGTGGTATCTCACCTTGTTACCTAGCTTGCATGAAACAATAACATATCTAAATGTGCGACTGTAATATTGGCTCCTATATATCTCGTATGAAAGTTCAAGTTTCTTAATGAAACATGGGCAATAATAAACGTCATCTGAAAATTTAAGGCAGTCATTCGTTTGCCCCAGAAGCTATACGTTTGGGGCTTGCGTAACCAGTTGCTATAAAATGCTATTGACTTTCAGAATTGTACGAGATAAGTCCATACGCCCAGTTTGCGATAGGTTTTCGCACATTTGGCCATGTAGACAATCAGGAGGTACCTAGCAGGGTACATCTACCGGGTAATAGCAAATCTAGATATGACAGTGGTAAGTGGTAACAATTATTGTGTTTTAATATTAATATGTTGATTGACTGACCATTGATAACTTTGAGATACAAATTTAGGATTAATAATACTATACAGGCGAAGAATTAACTAATACAAGATAGACAGGGTTATTAGAGCTTCTGCCACACAAGGGTCTAGTTATTACTACTTAAGAAAAAGTGAAAGTACTTAAGAAAAAATATTTTGCCAGCCCTAGTCCACAGGCCCCGCTATATCTTCTAAAACTTGATCCTTTTACATAAACTGGCAACTGCTGCAGTAGATTTTCATCTGATTGTTCCGATATTATACAATTAATTTCAAACATTTACAGTACTTGGCATGGTTTAATGAAGATACTGTTTTACAGAAACAAGCTTCCAAATAAGATCGGAGTCTGAAGAAAGTGACTGCGTGTCTCGAACTACAACATTAAAAAGTGTACCAAGAAGTAAGTCACAGGCTTTTTGCTAGCTGGACATAGTTTTTGAGAGCTAAGACCTTATTTAAGATATTTTTGCCTTGTTCTAAGATGTAAGTCTGGTTCAGTTTTAAATGTAGTTGTCATTTTCGCGATTTCATATAATTTATATCGTTGCATTATCACTATATTGGAACAACAAAAACACCAGTAATTAAAAAAACAAGATGGCTGGCAGGAGCTGGCTGCGAGAAGCCCAAAATCGATCTAAGTGGCGTGCAATTATAGAGCAGCAGTGGACTGCGATAGGCTGATCATGATGATGATGAAAAAAAAACGAAAAAAATGTGTATACAAAAATACAAGTTCATTGTCAATATGAATATAAAAAATAATATTTATTAAAAACGTTTTTATTTCAGAGGCCTGCAGAGTACCCCACCACAGGTAGCCAAGACGTTGCCCAATCTAATAGTTAACAATTTGGAATGGTTGTGTTCATAATTATCATCTTAATAAATACTTTACAATACAAGTTTATATAATATGTATTAGTTTTTGTAACTATGACCTAAAATAAAACTAGTCATTTTCATAGTTTTCAATTATTTTGACTGAGAAAATGTTTGATCTCAATAATATTCGATTATTTTACAATAGTACTAAGAAAATGTTTTTTTTTAATGTTACGAATGTGTTTAAAATGTAATTTAGAATAAGTTTTTATGACATATGCGTTTAGATAAATTATCATAGTAAAAATGTATAAATTAGTAAAAAGATTTTTATATAGTTTACTGAATGTTATTTAAATATTTTAAACAAAAAATAGCAGTTGATGCTTCATTTTCTAATAAAACAAAAATAAAAATGTAAATATTCTTGCATTAATACTATACGTAATTCTTAAAAATTCAAATAATCAACAAATTTTGTTTAGATTGGAATGTTTTTACATTTTGTTATGTATTCGTAATTAACATATTTTTAAGTTTAACTAACATAAGTAGGGAATCTAAAACTTTTTTCAGTTTTAAATTTTTCAGACACTTCTAAGCCATTTATTAAAGAAGTTGCTAGGACTGCTTAACTTTTCCGCAAGGTCACATACACTTCTGTGCACAATTTAAATTCTATAAATATTTGTACACAATCAAGTACAAACTACTTCTTTATAACACCACAACTAAGTGTTTAATCCATTAATAGCCTTCTGTTTTAATATTCAGCCATGTATCTTGACTGTCATTTTTGTGTCATGTGGCAACTCCATCGGACGTCACCTCATCAGAGCAAAAGGTGATATGGTACCTATGTTAGGATCAAACCGACTAAAACCACAAGGTGTTGTCACAAGAGAATCTATTGCACTAACAAGGAAGCTGGACTTAAATCTTTCCATCAGCAAGCGATCACACGTGAGGTATCATATATGATGTATTTTAAACATATCAATATTTAAAATATCAGATAAATAGTTTGACATAATTTATTACTTAAAAAAACCATAAATAATTTGTCAATTAATTAAGAGACGTATTTCCGCTAGATTTATTTAGTACTAGCTGACCCGCGCAACTTCGTCTGCGTCTCTCAATAGTAATAAATTTTCTCCGTTTTTGAAACATTCTTCATTGGTGCTCCGCTCCTATTGGTCTTAGCGTGATGATATATAGCCTATAGCCTTCCTCGATAAATGGGCTATCTAACACTGAAAGAATTTTTCAAATCGGATAAGTAGTTCCTGAGATTAGCGCGTTCAAACAAACAAACAAACAAACAAACAAACTTTTTAGCTTTATAATATTAGTATAGATTAAACGAGCATCCAACAATTTGTGGCAACAGAAAAACTTATTATGATTTGGTAGGAAACTGTCAATATGTAATTATTTTGAAAATGTATGTCTGAAATTGATGAAACGAGAATAGTGGTAGAAAAATATTGAAACTTAATTATCTTCAAAAAGACTGATTGTTTAACATTTATTTTGTAACGTGTAAATCCTCGATTTACTATAGAAATTAAATTTCAAAAATATTAAATGTTAGTAACTATACCAAATTTCTTTTATTTTCACATCCCTCTTAGAATTTTTATACTATTAAAAATATTCGATAACTGTAAACAAATAATGTATACTTTGTTTACGCTTATTACATGCTTTGTTTACTTGTAATATTAACTTGATTACAAAGATCAGATAGATCATAGAGTATCATCATCATCATCATCAACAGCCTGGAATAATCCACTGCTGGATAACGGCCTCTCCTTAGAAAGGAGGTTAGGCCTACTATACCACGCTGGCCAGACGGGTTGGAATAGGGTTTGTGTCAAGTTTTCCTTCTCTTTGCCGCTTTTGTCCTGCGTAGTTTGTCCTGTTAGTCGGCTTTTACGACACCCAGGGGATGAATAGGGGTGGTGACACTCCATATTCTTAATCCGTCACCACACGGACTGTAGAGTATCACTTTCGGGAAAATTACATGAAGTATCATAGAACAACTTTACTATCTCATTAAATTTTTGTTTACAATGGGAACTATACAAACTTTTGATTTATAAATCACCAGATAGTAAATGTAGTTGCCAGTATCGGTTTTTCGAACGAAATACCAAAAATACTTATTTCATTTAGGGGACTTAAAATGACATGATTATAAACCGAGATCATACCTGCGTATAGACATACAGCAGGCTTAGAGCAGCATGATAAGATAGATTATAAATATCTGGTTAACCTATAACCAGGTATTTACTACCTACTTTCTACTACTTACTAGTTATAGAGTTAACTTGACCAGGCTAAGAAAGTAACGGTTATGCATAGAATGTTACATAGATTACACCTTTCGTTTTATTCATATTTTTTTTTTTTTTTTAATTTTTTTTAAATTAATATTAATCGATTACCATGCATTTCTAAAGTTAATACTAACCATTTTTAAGAGAAATGAAAAGAAAGAGGAATAATCATTTCATGGTAAAAATTGTGGGTGTTGTAAAAATATTTTACTGACGGATATTGGTAAAAGTATGGTTATTAATTTATAAAATACCTTGAAAACTACCACGCACTTTTTTACGATAAAATGATTTTTCTTTTTCAACATATAGATAATTATTTCCTACTTTTTAGTTTGTCTAGCTACAAAAGCGTGTTTCATTAGTTTTTTAAAGCTATAATTTATTTTTACAATTTTTGTCTTTAATGATGATTATTATCTTATTGAGACTAAACATTTAATTATATATTATAAAAGAATGGAAAGCACCTGATGGAAAGCGACTACCGCCGCCCATGAACGCCTACAACTTAAGAGTCATAAGCGTATTGCCAGCCTCTGAGGAAGGAGTACGCTCTTTTCTTGAAGGTTTGAAGTCTGTACCTTTTTCAAATTGAAAATTGTTGCCGTTTAAGTAAATGAAATCAAAATATATACTTCGAGTTTTTTTAAATATTATTTGCTATTTTGCGTTAAGGTTTACTTATGTTTACTTTATTAATTTTTGTTATTGCCGCTAGATAGCGCAATGGTAAAAGATGTAGGTTGTAGATCTTTTTAAGATATACAATTCCATAGTACGTTATGTTGAAGTGTTGAACTATCTCGTAAGGTAAAGCCAGCGTCTGCAATGTTAAATTCTGAGGTATCCTCTACTATAATATGCATCAAAATCCGTTGCGTAGTTCGAAAGATCTAAGCGTCAGCAAGCGTAGTCAAGAACGGGAAGCGACTTAATTTTTTATTTTTTATTTATTTATAACTTTTTGCTCAAGTACATGCATCGGCGGACTTAATGCCTAAGGCATTCTCTGCTAGTCGACCGATTGGGCGGTGCTGAGAAAGAATGAGGTAGGTGCATTTATGGTAGGGTAATAAACGATAGAGGTTTTGTTAAATACCAACTATCTTGGAATTTGGTGTATACGTCGTAATACCACACACATTTTATACTATGTAAAGATTTTGTTGTCAACCTGATCAAATATTTTTTACATACACTACACATTTACGGTTTCAGGTATAAATATTACTCCAACCTTAGTCCTAATTAAAAGGAAAATTGGAAATGCTTTCCAAAAATTCTGAAAAGTTCCATGAGCAATTTAAAAACTTGGAGGATTTCTCTATGAAGCGAAAACTATCTCAAACAATGAATCGAAATTCGAGGATATCGTCTTTTTCTTGGATTATTTTTTTATTTTACTCCTATCGAATTCAGTTTTAGTAGTATTAGTACTCGTATAATCGATGTTTTATTAAGTTATTGTAAATGTTCATTATAGCTCGAATATTAACAAATATTGGATGTCCAAATACAAAAGATTAAATTCATTTTATTAAGAAGTTGGAGGTAGCCAAAAATAATAATAAATATATTATAAATGTGAAAGTGAGTTTTTAGGGTTCCGTACCTCAAAAGGTAAAAAAGGAACCCTTATAAGATCACATTCTTGTCCGTCTTTTCGTCTATCCTTCTGTCCGTGTGTCACCATCGATTTTCTCAGGAACGGGTAGACCTAGCAAGTTGAAATTTATACCAGATACTGAGGTCTATGGTCCCTATTAGGTGTATAAAAATCAAGGTCCTGAGTCAACACGATGCATTTCGATTTTCGCGAAAACTTGTAAGTACCAAAATTTACCGTAATTTTTATCTTTTTTTTTTGTTGGTTACGCTTTCACTCCTAAACCACTAAACCTATTTTAAAAATTCTTTCACCTATGGAAAACTATATTATCAGAGAGTAACATAGGCTACTTTTTACCGCGATAATCGCCACACACGCGGGCGAAGCCGTGGCGCAAAAACTAGTTAATAATAAAAGTAACTCTCAAACGAACCTAATATCTGCTTCTTAACAAGCATTTATAATTGTTCGATGTATTCAGAAAATTGATTAAAAAAAATTGATTCTTGGATTTAGTTTTAAGAATTCACTAACTGAAAACTTAACTTATTTTACATTGTTATGGAAAATTATGAAACTAGTTTTATTTTCTTGCTTTAGAGTAAATTCTGCATCCAAATATTCTGATATTAAATCTCAGCTACGTCAAAGTTTAAAAATTTGAGCAAACTTTATAAATCAGTTATAACCTTTAGAAAGAGTTGATTTAAAAAATAAAAGAAACTAATCCATTACAACGCAAATTTTCATAATAGCTACTCTTAAATTTCCTTTTTTCCCTACTAAAAGATCTAAAATATTCTAAGGTTTTTAACTATGACTAAAAGTTTCACGTGCAAAGCTTCCTAAATAAATTCTATCTGATAATATTTGAGTATCTAACAAAAGTCTATTAAAGTAACAAAACGTTAGAAAACTTTTGCGGAACAAGTTTCAAACAACCGTTTACTTGGAATGTGCAGTCGACCGAAAAATTGGCAGCGGTTCTCTCCAGAGGAGAAAGTTGTTCAGCCTTTTTAATAGTTAGGGTGTTAGAGCCACTTGTAAGTAATTAATGAAATAGATTAGTTTCGATGGTCAACGTGAACTTTTGCAATATTGATATAGTTTTTAAGTTTGTGGGAAGAGAAATAAATACTTTCCACTAATCGCTCTGTTCCTGTATGTTTAGTAGACATACTAAATACTCTTGGTAATAGAAGAGCCTATTAAATTTTCATTGAGTTACTGATGCACCTGAGCAACTAAAATATTGTTACACTGCCCCCTTTTAGAGATGTTCGTCGCGAGCATCGCTATTGCTGCCACAATATTTCGCCAGGCGGTCAATGTAAACCATTTAAATCCTGTAGGTCACGCCGTTCATCCGGGTAATCACTTTGTACGGCTCCTCCCACTTGGGCTGTAGTGTAGGGGAACTTCCCCTTTCTACAGGTTGTTTTATGCAGCCAAACCAGTGTACCTTCTTCAAAACCGTTTGCATTTATACGGCAGTCGTATCTGGTTTTCATGTTCTCGCTCGCGTGTATACAATTTTCCTCAAACTCCATTTTACTTCACGGAGGACGCTTGGCACATTAGCTCTTGGTACAACTATCTGCAGGTGGAAATCGCTACCATTGGTCTTCTTCCATTTTCGGTAAAGCATCCCCTTCTGTAGAACTAAGCTATCCCATTGTGCCCAATAAGCTTTGTTGGTAGCGCTTGTAGATGAGACATTACTCCAAGCAGGTTTGTTGCGTCGAGTCGTCGAGTTGTGTGAGTCGCTGTAAATCATTGCCAGGGTCCTAAAGAAATAACCTTGGTGCGCTTTAACGTCAAGCCTTTTGGTTCTTAATATGGTGTCGCAGTACACTTTCTAACTCTTACAACTTATTTGTATTGTCCGATGACGTCATTTCCGAGCCTCTGTCTTAGAAGGTGCGTCTTCGATCAATACACCTCGCCACGTTTCTTTATCAGTTCTTCCAGACGGCCCTCTTTTCTCGTTAAATTGGCCATCTGCGAACACTTTAAAGGACAATTAAGCTGCAGCAATTCTTTGAAGAAGCCTTGACTTCTTTTACCTCTTTCGATACTTAATGTAGCTTGTGGGTTGGCCGAATATCCTGTCGAACCGCTTCGACTGCCATGGCATGGGACAGTGCTTCCTTTAGTGAGGTGTGGTGGTGAAACCTCACTGCAGCTCTGATCTGCAAGTCCCTGATCCCGTCCACGAATGCTAGCACCATATTCGACTCTAGTATTTTCGCGTCGGTCGAAAGATACGCTTTCCGTACGAGTCTTTCAATTTCCAACGCCCATTGCTGTAGACCTTCGCCCCGGCTTTAAAGTATATCACGTAGCTGGGTGCGGAATACGTGTTCCAGATGGCGTTCCCAATATCAAGATTTGAGGGCTTCCAACAGTTGTTTATATCTGCTGCCCGAATCAGGCAATGCCTCTAGGACTGTTAAAACCTGCCCCCTAAGGGCGACAGTAAGAGCAGACAGGCACTGTTCCTCCATCCACCCGTTCGAAGCAGCAACAGTCTGGAACTGCTGCCAGTACGCGGTCCATGAAGTACTGCCGTCGCAGAAAGGTACTTTCACGCTGGTTGCATATTTTACACCAACTACACTTGTTTCAAGGCGCACTACCCTCTTCTGCAATGCCGTGAAAGCAGTCTTCATGCTGTCCATATCGGTACCTACACAGGTGACCCATTCCTCAACTACGTCTAGATCTTTTATCTATAGTAACACTCACTTGGATGACGGCTGATAAAATCAATTGTTGGTCATCCTTGTTTTTGCAGAGCTTCTTGCCCATTTTGGGTAACAGCAAACTTGCTGTCTAGCTGTTATTTCATAGCCATCTTTAATGTTAGTCTGGCGTGGGCGCGGCCTAGTGTACGGAACCGGTGGTTGTTCCTGCAGCACGTCGAGCCCTGGTCTTATATCGCTCGCTAGCACCTTCGTCTCTCGGAGTCAATGACATTTCCAAATCTTACTTCTGACACCAGATGTTACGTGTTAGAGTTCGTTGATTCGGAATAATAAGCCTTCTGACGACTAAAGTCTAAAGTCTGACGACTTTATTATTACTACTCTTTAAGAGGTTAGTCAATACTTAATAAAAGTGCGGAACGATCGCCTGGGTTGCTAGGTTACATTCGCTCGCTTCGATGTTTATCGCACTGTAGCTTGAACTGAACTGACTCTAAAGAAGACGTGTCAGTATTTATAATACTTGTAAAGGAATATTCCAGCAATTTCTAATTCCTACGAGAACCACTTCTGATTCGTCCACTTCTGATTAATACAAATTCGTTTCAAATGTAAACAAAAAAAAAATATTTTCGATCTTATGCGTATTGGTATAAAACTTATTGTTCCGTGCCAACCTGCATTACTGTTAAACGATTCCCGGAATTACACGGTTAATCGAACGTTCGCGATGTTTCATGACAATGCGTTAAAATTTACACCTTATTTTTATTATATTCAGAACTTATTTTTATTATGTTGTCTACCTCACATGGACTAATATATTTGTGTTATCACGTAAACAAAAACGGTTCTCCGTCATTGCAAATTAGGTCATCGATTCAAGCGAGGGCCTCAATTTTACGGTTCGACTATTCCAACCTCCTTGGAGAAAAGTTCTGCTACATTTTTGCATATTCACTAAAAGTTTCGCGATACTATGTGCTGTTACACTCGTAATATTCTAATTTATTTTTACGTCAAACTATTTACTAGGGGTCACCGAAGACTCTCCCTTTAGTCATTGGTAACATCAGAGGTTGAATAAATTATCGACCCGCAAAACAGACACACGGAATTACGGTAGATATCCTGTGACTAATATTCCTAAATTTAAAAGAGTAGTTCTGGTTTAACTGCCGTTATCTTATGTTTGGTACAAGGCAAACCTGACCAAAGACTGCGCACCGTATCACCAGCTGTTCTAGTGCTGTTCTTTTAAGAAAAGTACTGCAATAAGTATATAATATCATATGTAGCACTGAATCCACAAATAAAGAAACAATACAGCTGACAAATATTTGAACTGTATTATTTCTGAAAAGATTTGCGCATCATCAGACTTATCCTATGTTCTGCCAGAAAATGCGCATTTTTTTACAATTATTAATAATTGTACACTGCTCGACCTCTGCAAAGACAACTAAGATACCCGACCTACATGAGATAATTAGATGTTAAATCTACAAGTGAAAACACCCGAACCATCTTTGATAATAGAAATACTAATAAATGGTACATATATATCAGTTCATATAATTTCACCTACATTTTGGTAAATTATTACGAAACAATCCAACTGCTCCGCACACTTTCATTCAAACCGCGAAAACTTTAGAACTGTGATAATATAAAGTTGGACTTCTGCTTTGTGCTCGCTCTCACCACTACGAGTGTTTAAACCTCGATTTTATTGTTTTTATTTTTACAAGAATTTATTTCTGTTTTAATGTCTGAATAGCTGTAGCTGTAAGCGGAGAACACTTTAAGAAAATGTTTCCCAAAACCTACATCAACCTGGTAAAAAAAAATTGGCTTATCAAATGGAATAGGTGTGTCATATCTCTAATTCGGTAGCGCAGTGGCATTTATGAGTTTAAGTATCTCTCCGTTTGAGTGAGAATCATTTTACCTCACATCATCAGCCTTTAATAGTCCACTGCTGGACATAGGCCTCTCCTTAGAAAGGAGGTTTTGGCCTACTACACCACGCTGGCCAGACGGGTTGGTATAGGGTTTGTGTCAAGTTTTCCTTCTTTTTGCAGTGCTGGTGACCTGCGTTGTTTTGCGCCCTTAGTCGGCTCTTACGACACCCACGGGATGAATTGGGGTAGTGACATTCCGTATTCTTAATCCGTCACTACATAGAGATTAGATTTTACCTCTCCTGAACCTAATTATTTCACATAAGATTTTATTTACATCCGATCTTAGGTCTTAATTCTTGTTTATATTTTTATCAACTATATTCCACTAGCCTTTTTGCGTACGAAAAGTACGTTCATCAAAGTAAGTTCATCATTATTACTTACTAAACCTTCATAATCTCACAGTGTCTTAATGTTGTCAAGATTCTTCCTATTTCTAATTCCTTTCATAGTATCATGTAAAGTTATTTTAAGTTACATACGCAGGATAGTCATATGGAGATATACTCGTATCTTCCAACTGTAGGCCACAAAACTAGATTTAGCTATTAGTTAGACAGCAAAACAACAGATGCTTTTGTCATGTGATAAAATTTGTTATTAATAGAACGAGTAGTATTAACAAAATAACGAAAACAATACTATAATATCCAACGTAAATAGGTAATTAATTTTAAAATAATACAAATAGTTAATGTATTATTAACTTCTACACTTTCTAATCCTGCACCGTTCTCTAAGAGACCTGTTAACGGACAACGCTATCTGTATCGACAGATTTATTTCCTCGACCGAAACTCGAAACCACTTCGTCTGAAATTTCGACAAGCTTTAAATCTAAAGCGTCTATAGTAAGCCGCAACAATCCAGCATAGTTTGTAGAGCAAACAAATAATTAATCTACAGTGGCTACAGTTTAATTGCTTGTTTGAGTTTGTCTTGATGTTCTATATCTAGTCCACCGACATTGTAAGTGGTTATTACATTGTTCTCGACGGTAAGTTTATATTCAAAGTTCATATCTGTGGGTATAGTAAAATCTTATGTGTTATCGTATTTCATTATTGTTATTATTATTCTTAGTTGGTTATTCTAGACTTTCGTTTATTAAAGATAAAGTGAGACAACTATGCTTTGGCACAAATGAACGAGCTCGACTGGAGTGATATCACGCAATTACAGAAAATCGCTGATTAGCTATTAGTTTCTTGCTTTTCATTGTGTGAAAGAGGTGCTAGCGAAGCCCCACCTCTACGGGGAAGGGGTTCAAAGGGTGCGTACACACTTGTGAGTGTTGCAGCATCCATCAGCAGCTACATGTGTCCATGCATGTCCGCATTTGCCGTTACTTTATGGCTATCCCTTTAAAACTTATTATCTTTTAGTTGTTTCGTCACCTACCTTTATGAATATAGCTAACTTAATAACAGATAACGAGGTATGTAATTAATATCGCCATTTTGACCAGACCCACTGTTTAATCTACATGGAAGCCACGTTGTCAAGAGTAAACCAAGATGGACATATTATGATCCGTGTCCTCTAAAGCTGATTATGAAAGTATTAAAAGTAAGAAATATTTTCGTTCCCTTGTTGAAAAATATTAGTTTAACGATTCAGGCTCATCGGCAAAAAGTTGCTTTGTTCATATTGTTTGAGAGTTTTCTTGTAGATATAGGAACATTTGTTACCCAACCAATATTTTTTGCTCAAAATCACAGTGTTTTTTTTTGTACCAACGATAGCCTTGTCTAATTCGGACCATAATATTATTGAAATTTTTTTTTGATTAAATTTTTAAAACAGCACTTGAACTGTATTTGTTTAAACTTACTAAGTAAGTATCAAGTGATATAGGAATTTTTATGTAGGTAACTTTTAACTTTATGAAACAAAATGTTTACAAAAATATTTCCAAAAAATAACAATGGCAAATTAAAAAGGTAAGTAGGAAATACATACTTTTAAGTACATTAAAAAAATGGGATTTTAGTAATATTAAAAATTGCCCGTAATATCGCTGTATTTCCAGGTATACCCTAGAAAGGAAGTCCCTGGTGCAAACTTCAATTTACCCTGGAGATCTGATGATGTATATTATTATTATTTTTGAGTATAACAAGCGAGGGTTACCTGACGGTAACTAACTAAAGTGACTAGCCACCCACGGACAGATGCAAGTTAGGAGGCGTTGCCGCCTATTACAATTGGGTTTGGTTTTCGATAACCTCACTCACTCACCCAAAACAACGAATAAATAGTCTCTACCACGATAAATATAAAAATAACCAAGGAATTACCTCACACACATCACACATCACAACAGCCTTTAATAGTCCACTGCTGGACATAGGCCTTTCCTTAGAAAGGAGGTTTTGGCCTACTATACCACACTGGCCAGACGGGTTGGTATAGGATTTGTTTCAAGTTTAAACTTTAGAATAATACTAATAAATTTTTCAAATAGGCAATCCTGCCAATCTTCTGAAAACGCTACCAGTAGGCGATGGTGCGGTGGAATTTCTTGATGCTTGTATGTTAATGATGAAAATATGGTAAATATTTAAATTTTATTATTTATTTAGTTCATTAATAAAATAACTTGAATTTGTAAAAAACAAGTGTCTAACACATTAGTGACAGAAAACATTTTACAGAGAGATCTCCTACAATTAATTCGTGTAAAATTTGATATCTCCTTTTACCTTTAAAACAATAATTAATCTTCAGCATACTATAGACAAACGAGTACTCGACTTCAGCCTCTTCTAGCTATTGCAGTCTCAGTCCAGATTCCTATCCAAGGTTTACGAAATTCGATCCTCTGACTCCATTTCTCTACCCGTTTTCCTTCCCCTTGTTACTACTTCCCAAGGAGAATTGGCGTCAAGCAAGCGATCCGTCATAAAAGAAACCTACCCAAATCCTTTGCACAATAACACATTGTGCTGAACCCTAATAAAATTAGGAAAATGGTAGGAAAATGCTGATGACGATGTTGGTTAA